CCATGGCGCAATTGCCAAAGTATTGTCTTCGACGTCGGAGGGTCTTGGGTTCCATTCCCACACGGACTACTATTTGTGTGACCCACAGATAGTTGTTTCGCATCTGGGTGTTTGTCCTTGTTGTTTAGAGGTACATTTAAATACAATCAATTGCAATCAGGCATTTATTATCATGGCGTGATGATCCTGATGGGAATATAGGACCCTAAATAATTCAAGTAATTATTGTAGTTTTATCGTTTCTATTATAGTTGCGAGAGAACTTCCAAATTATTCAAGACGTTCATTCTTTTTAAACATACCTAAATAGCTACGACCTATTAGACGAGCTATTAGATTGGAAAACATAAAAATTTCCTTTTAAAACAGTTTTTGAACCACATTTAAATAAAATAACATAATAAATCTTTGCCTGCCAGCAGTGCACGCGAAACAACGCGTAACGTGCAAATTCCCGCGCATCACAGATGTTACAATGGCATTCCGTATTTATTCGTTTATTTTAGGCTCCATCCTATAAACGACGCGTGGAGTAGTAGAAAAATGAAAAAAATGTTTATTTATAATATACCTGTTTCGTCTCGATTGGTATGGTAAAACAGGGACAGAAACAGTTAGGAATTTGCGATTAACCTGATTAAGAGGTTAGTGCAATTTACAGCTACGCTTTAGCCGCCATGTAGTATATAAGTATATCAAGAAGAAAATTAATCACATGTATAATTTTATGGCTTACAAGCACTAATTCAAATGTTCTGTAATTGGATGTTAGATTGAAAAAAAATCTTATCGAAAAAATTAAAAAGTGCTGTACAAAAATAAACATCGTTTAAAATTAAAAAAAAAAAAACACTGGAATTTTAATGGCACAGATACCACAGATATTTGTGTTCACCTTGCACTACATTCATAGCGATTTTTGTTCAACAATGAAAGCGGCAGGTAGAATTCCTTTTCTGAAATAATTGGCGGGACACTAGGCGTGTCGACCGCTTATTAATTTTTTTTCTTATAACGATAATAATACGTTTGGCCAAGACATAAATTAATTAAATGTAAGATAACTAATCTGTATAAGATACTTTTTATATGGGAATTATCAAAATATTTTAAAAGAGAACAGTACCCTATTAAAATTCGATAAGCTAAGAAAACGTTAATCGTGAAACGCATAACAACATTTAGATAAACCAACATTGCTTGATATCGGAACGTGAAAGTGCTATGAAATATGACGTATAACGTGCAATCATCGGTCATAAACGTAAGTAAACGATGGCGCGAAAACGTTTCCCGCCATTTCGACCGCCATTACAACGAAAATAAAATCTCACAAGTCGAAACGAGGAATGTTCACGACAACTTTGCCGTGTATATGTACCTACGTACCTGTTACTTGGAATTTGTGCAGTGTAGATACGTAGCGTAGGACCGGTTTCGTCAGCTGACAAAACTGAATTTGTAAAATGGCGGCGACTCTGTGAGAGGCGCAAACTTCGACTGATAACATAATCTTATCCCGCGTGTATTTATCAAATAACTGTTTACTAACAGTTGATTACGTGCGAATTATTTAATAATGGCCATTGTAAAATTGGATTTAGCTGTAGAGAAATTGTTAGTACATAATGTTAGAGTTTAAAGATTAACCGTAATTAAAGTTTCATTGTTCTTAGTGATTTGAAATGTGGTTTATCTGTTTATTGCTACGACTATTTGTTTGGCGTGGTATATATTTGTATTGAAACTTATTTATTCAGGGCGAACAATCACTGTGACAATATTTAATCGTATTAAATCAATCTCATTACTTGGTCTGTAGCAAGCATTAGTTACTTGCCTTAGACAAAGTAAGGGCCCATTTACACGATGCCATTTTCTTGTACATACAAGAGCAATAATTGAATGCAATAAGTTGCACGCAATAATTGACCATCAAGAATTGTAAGCAACAGTTTACACGCAGATATAGTAAATTAAATTGAATGCGATTATTGAATGCAAGTCTTGACAAGAAATAATTGCAAATATCTTTTGTTTACACCAATGCAATTATGTTTAGGCGATTATTGCTTTCAAGTTTTGACTTGTCTAAACACATGCTTGTATGTGCGTGTACAATTTATTGGCGTGTTGCTTCAAGTATTGCACGTATTTGCGTTGACAAATTTTTCATGCAAGTGTTGAACGTTTTACAAAGGCCTGTTTTTTTAAAAAAATGGGTCAATAATAAGTGTTCAAGTTGATTATGCCGATTTAATATATTTCATTGAGATTTATTTATTATGATCCATATATTATTATTCATATTTTTATCCAACTTTTTTTACGACCTTTTCTCAATATTTCTATCCTCAAAAGAACAGCAACGATTAAATACCCTCACTCATTGCACTAATTTTTGCAAAGGAAGAGAGAATGCAATTGAATACAAGAATTGCTTACGAAATTATTGTGTGTGCTGTTTACACCAAGGAAAGTTTTGAAACAAAAACTTGATGCAAGTCTTGTTCAACAGTCAAGAATGTTATGTGCTGTTTAGACAATGCAACTCATTTATTGCTTCAATTTAATTGTATATAACAGGCAAGAAACTTGCACCGTGTAAATGGGCCTTAATAAAAGATTCACATTTTATATTTTTTTTTTGTTTTTTTTTTAAATTGGTCTTACTTTAGGATAACATTGTCCTTTGTTGTAATGCCGTTTTACAAACATAAATTTCACGCGGATAAACACCCAGATGCGAAACAAGTATTTGTGGGTAACACAAATAGTTGTCCCGTCTGGGAATCGAACCGACGGCCCCCGCCGCCGAAGCCGGCGTGTATGCTGTAGGCGTCTTTATATAGATACCTGTGTTTTTATTTTATTTGTATAAAATTACAAAATATTGTCCGCTGGGAATATCTTCACCACAGCGTCATCTAAAGGGTAAAAAAAACATAGGCCAAGTGCGAGTCGGATTCGCGCACGAAGGGTACCATTATCTATAAAAACGGCAAAAATATCATTTTATGAGTGCCCCACTTTTTTCTGTTTTTTAGTGTTTGTTGTTACAGCGGCAGCAGAAATATATCATCTGTGAAAATTTCAACTGTCTAACTATAAAGGTATAGCCTGTTGTGAGATATAGCCTATTGTGTGACAGACGGACAGACAGACAGACAGCGGAGTCTTAGGAATAGGGTACGGAACCCTAAAAATGTGTTATTTCTATTAAGTGGTCCTTCTAGTTAAATAAGTTCACCGTGATAAAATAGTATAATATGTCAATGTCTCAATTCCGTTAGAGGAACCTCATTACGAAACGGTGGTAGATTTAAAAAAATGACTATCGATAGTTAGATGAAATATATATTTCTTATTTCGATGAATAAATGATTTGATTTCATTTGCCTTAGTTACGAAAAAAAAAACATGTTATTAGTGACATAAACACTACGACTAACAAAGGAGTAGGGAGAGGTTGCCTTCTTCCTTCAAAAATAAAAATCGTTATCTAAGTCTTTAGTCGAAACATTAAACGCTGTTTTAACAATTTTTAAACACCCATATTAATATCTTTACGATTTATACTAATACACCAAGCAAGAGCATTTAAAATTTTGAGAATGCGAGACAAGCAAGCAATAACTACTTTAAATTACCGTTATTTTTACCTATATCCGTTAATAACCGAACTTATTTTTAAAAAAATACCGCTATCTCTCTGCATCCCTACCGACAGCCAGCCAACCGTAACTTCCATTCGACAATTGGGAAAACCGTTAGGAACCCTTGGGTTGGTGCCGCAAGCATAAAAGTAGGTCTAATGATGATATCTTACTGTATGAAAGGATCAATTCGACACGAACATGTAAACTACACCTGTAAGCATGTTATTAAGAGTATTACAAGCGACTTTCTGATATTTATACGCGAATAAAACATGTATAAAAATTGTACTATTATTTGAAAATCATAGAGTTTTTTTTAAATAACTTTATGAATATAAAATAGGCGATAGCATAGACTTTTTGGATAGATAATCGAACTCTGATTTAAGTTAACATTGGCTATGCTATGTACCTAAAGAAAATTGCTGGTCGTTTTCATAAATAGGCCTTTATGCCAGGTTCAAACATAAATTGTCCGTTTTGAACATTCTAGAACCCCAACTGGAGAACTCTACTATCACAGGTCGCGTAAGCCAATGGTTTTTTAAATCGTTTCTGAAAATCGTCTCGCATAATTTTAAAGTGCAATTGTTAACGGATTAAATTAGTTATTTATTTATTATTGCAATAATTGCGTTTTGAATGCGTAATCATTACGAAGCAATGAACATAATATTGTCGGTTCAAGCCCGTGTCATGAGTCAGTGACATGGGGCAACACGCTGAATTGCAGAAGACCGTTTATTACTTAGGGCTGCCTGTTCGCCTTATGTTACGAATAACTAAAATTTTTCAAGTTTTAACCTAAATACATAGCTAGGTAAGTTTCTTGGGTCGTTATATTAACATCAAACGGTTTGGGGTAGTATTATAATCAACAAATAATCAAGTTTCTAAGATTTTTATGTGTAATACACATTTACCACTGGTATTGGCAATTTTTTAGATTATTTATCACACTTGCAAACAACTTAATTTGCTTTTAACATAAATTGTTCTTATTCGTTGTTCTTATCTCACGCATTTAATTTGAAAGGTTTTTGTCCAATCGGTTTTGAAAAGGTTCCAAAAGGTTTTGTCCATTGTCAATATCCATGAGAAGCTAATACTTATCAAATATTCGGCAACCAGCAAACATTTCTAAACGTATTAATTTAGGCCTGCAAGTAACTCAATGGCTTATGACAGCAGTAAGACTTTCTGATGTATTATTAAAATGACAACTCCATTCACAACCTTTCCAGTTTTTTTTTCTTGATCATTGAAAAGGAAAAATAACCGGTGAATGACGCCCCATCTCACGTTATTTTTAACGATCGTGAAAGTCTACGCTATCTATAAATGGCGAGAAAGTCGACAACCCTGACAGCACCCGATCAACAGGTGCCAGATCCGTTAAGTTACCGCCCAAACGAGTTTCGATATGTTTTCAGTTGATTTTAAACATCATATCGATTAATCGAATTTCCATTAAACAATTATGCTGCTTCTGGTCGATTTACGCAGTAATTTCTCAAGTATTCAACCCAACCGCTTCCTTTTAACAGCCATTTTATCTGTATATTTTTCTTTACACCGAAATCATATTTAATCTGTGCCCAATTTGTTACAGATCCAATAAATACCTGCAGAAGTCGGCAATAACGCGCGTGTGTGCTGTCGGTGGCTTCTTTATATCGATACCGGTGTTTTTGACAGGTAATGTATCATGTTCAAATCTATAGAGCGTGTTTATTTTTTTTATGAGCTGAGAAAATCTTATTTTTATTACAACACTAGGAAATAAATCCTGTCCTAGGAAATTTTACAAAATTGGTAAATCGAGGTAACAAGGGTTGGAAACAATAATTTATGGAACACCCTAATTTCTTTCTCGGTTGTCGGGTTCGATTCGAACCCACAACACAGGGCGCAATAGAAACTGGCAATATGACCAACTAAGGCGCACTAAAGTAAAAAAAACCGGCCAAGTGCGAGTCAGACTCGCGCGCACGAAGAGTTCCGCATTATTTGTAAAAACAGCAAAAAAACAATATATCTGTTGTATGGGAGCCCCACTTAAATATTTTATTTATTTGTTGTTATAGCGGCAACAGAAATACATCACCTGGGAAAATTTCAACTAAAAATCTAATAAATGTTGCATGCAACAATTGTTGCATATGACTTAATAAATAGTAACTTAACGTGAACGCAAAAATAAATCCGTTAAACACCAATACCCAGTTGTCCTGCATAGTACGTTATGGTATTTATAACGTACTTACGCCCGGTTTCTGAAACACTGATCATCGTAGAAGTTATCCGCGTCTCTAAATTATTCGTTTCTCTTATTATTTGTGCACTTACCTCAACTATTTTGCCTCATCCGTGGTCGCCCAACAGAAAATGTCTTTGGCATTAGGTCTGCCTTTTAAAAAACTTGTTTTTTGTGCATAAAGAATTTGCTGTGGTAGGACCACGCAACACTCTTGATGTTGCACGAATGGGGAGGTCCGTCCGGGGAAGTACCACGATCTCACAGAAGACCGGCGTGAAGAGGAAATGTTATACTACTGCGTTTCGTCTGGTGAGTGAGGTAACCAGGGCCAACTTTATTAATAGGTGGCAACGCATCTGCAACCCTACGAGTGTTTTAAATATTCTATTAAATATATATTATATCTAAAATATGGGCAGCGGATATCACTTAAAATCAGGTGACCCGCCAGCTCCCTTGCCAAGTTCACACATAAAGAAATAATTCAAAGAAATTTTTTGTTTAATGCACATAATGATTCAAGTAAAGTTTTCCATTGCTAGTAACAGTTGTACGAAGCAGTCTTGACTTTTAACCGAATAACGACGATATAGCAACCATCTTAAACAAACTTATTTGCTCATCGAAAAAGTGTGAAAAGCGACGCTTTCTAATAGCTTAAACCAACTGCGTATTTGATAAATCGCTTATCCTCCCTCGTCAGGGTGTCTCAAAATTATGTGACGCCCTGACGAGGTGAGAACTCTTTCGGTCGGCGTTACGGTGTTTCTCATCAGCTTCCTCCCACCGCCAGGCATCATACTCTACACCTTCATCCAGTTCCACTCGACGCCGGCGATTGTCACGTCGGTGTTCATCGGGGTCGGCATCGTCTTCTGCGGCTGCGCGATGGTGCACAACGTGTTCGTGTGGCAGAAGGAGAAGACCAGCCTGGTGAAGGCGTTCCGCTCGCAGGAACCCGCCGCGGCCGGCGGGGGCTCCGCCGCCAACGGGGCGCTGTTGGCCAACGGCCACTTGAACAACACCGCGCCAGCCAACCTCGGCTTCCACAGCGTCGCGCCTTACAGCCACCCCATCACGCTGCTCCAGCAAGGCGGCCCGTACATCATTAGGTGATTATCAGCCTCGCGTTTACACAAACATAAAGCATTTGTACCAACAGCTGGACATCGAAGAATGAGTAAATCTTTTATGGGACGTTCGAAATGTATTTTAAATTATTTATTATTTTATATTCAATTTTTTATTTGCGCTCACTGATCAGTTGCCACATATAAAAATGGTGGACTATGTACTAAACCCTTTGTACAGAGGAAGTCTTAGTCCAGAAGTAGCATACATCAAAAGGTTTTAACTTTACTTTTTTATATGCTTTATTTTAAAGATTACCATATTTTGTTGTGACTCGCAAGAATACAAGCTTGTTTGTAACACAATTATTCTGTGTAACTTTAGATAATGATAAGACAGTGATTTAATTTTATTTAATACAAGCTGCCCGCACAGACTTCGTTCTTTTTTTTTATAGTATTAAAACCTTAGCCTCGTACTGGCCATCGCAGTGTAGGCCGACCCCCCACTAGATGGAGTGACGACCTGTGCAAATGTGCCGGAAGTCGATGGATGCAGGTGGCTCAGGATCGTACTTCGTGGCAGTCTGTGGGGGAGGCCTATGTTCAGCAGTGGACTCAAACAGGCTGAAATGATGATGATGATGATGATTAAAGCCTTCCGTGGACTTTAAACAACATACAAAAAATAAATTAGCCGAATCGATCCGGCCATTCTTGAGTTATGCGCTTATCAACATTCATTTTTATTTATTAACTGTGTAACTTTCGATAATAATTAGACAGTGATTCAATTTTATACAGCGTGTCGTTACCATCGCGACAATAAATGAACACACGTCTAACGCTACTTGCCAATAATCATAAAAAAATATTAACGTTAAACAAAATCCATAATTAAAAAAAAAAATATTTTTCAAACAAACTAATTAAGTAAAAAGGAAACAAAATTTGTAACATCCTATACAACTCGCGCCACAGCGTCGTATTATAAGCCTCTCCTTTGTTGTCTCTTTTAAATTCATTCAACCCATTCATATGCTTTGTGTGACCTTTACAAATGAACTTTACGTTACGCTTTTATAGGTAAGGCTGTTCTAAAATTCTTTGTTTTGGAAAATTTTATAACTCTGTAAATATTAATGTTTAAAAAATTTAAATGTTTAATACAACTTTAAAAAGTTATCCCCTATATGTGTGTTCATTTATTGTCGCGATGGTAACGACACGCTGTATAATATTATTAAGTTTTCGTGTGCGTTCATGTATAGATGAGAAATGACAGGTCGCTATTTGTAATTCACCAGGCCGCCGACCAGCACGCCACCTGGCGAGGGCGCCGCCACGCCGGGCGTCCCACCTGCGACCATAGACCTCAGCCACGACACGCACGAGCTCAGCACCCTCGTTTAAACACCCCTATTACAGTTCGTTTGATATACGATGATACGCGGGACATTGACATTCATTTGACATTCATAAACTAAAGTGACATTACGAAATGAAGTACCGAATTGTGTTACGTACGTTTTTTGTTTAAAAAATACGGAACCATATTTGTACGTCAATGTCCCGCGTATCAACCTATATTTAAGAGACTGTAATTATTCACGCGGGTTGCATTTACATAGCTTACAAACGAACCAATCGAAATTTCGATGTTAAACGTAATTACGAACGAAGCTACGATCGGAATAAACAGACACGGCGGCCATGTTTGAAACAAATATGGCGTTTTTCCTTTCTCCTGACATCGAGTCTTCTGTTGTTATATGCGCACGCACTGTATTTATTATCGCACCAAGAATGACTGTAGTTTAATTATGGCGGAAGCAGTTATTTTCTTTTAATAAGATGGACTTATCAATGACTTCATTTAATGCCACGTCTCTCCAATAATATTCGATACTATTAACGCTAAGTTTTTGGCATATTATATTATTGTCCAAATAAATGTGATAGTAGAATCACGATAATGCAATTAACAATTAATTATATAAGCATTACAATTATTAAAAATTTAAAAGAAATCATATTTCAAACGGATGCATTTTATTTAAAAAGACAACTGGCAACTTATGACTAACAAAAAAAATAACACATTAATAAAAATCGAGTTTTGGGACCAAAATAATGGGAACTATATTTTAAAAAGTAAAAATTATTTACTAAATTTTCTAACATATCCAGAATTACATCTAACCTACTTTGTCTGGCACCAAAATTAAGAATTAGTGTTATAACAAATTTGGTAAAATAGAATTTGTATATTAACAGACTAAACAAAAAATGCGGGATGAATACATATTCGCATTTACAATTAATGCTGGAACTATATGTATCAAAAGAGCATTTCATGAATTTCACACATTGTTTCAGTACAACAACAGTAACTGTAAACAGATTGATTTTAATATTTTATTAATTTCATAACTGTATTGTGATGCGATTTGCCTTCAAAATGTCGCAATTAAATTGAAAGAAATATTTTCAGTCACTGTAACATTTTTCAAGTTGTTAAAAGATTAGAAAAATAAACGTTAACATGGTCTCACTTATTAGATCTTACAACGTATCAAAATTGCAATTGTAGGGAGTTAATCAATCGCTGAAAGAAAATCCGAAGATGGCGCTGTCATCGAGATGCATCCAAAGATCTTACACTTATTAACTAAAAAAAAGTGTGAGGTATTTGGATGCATCTATATATATATAACCTACATTTTTTTATTGCTATAACGTGTATTGTTCCCCATGTTGGTTTATTGACATTCTCGGAGTGTGAGATTATTTGTGGGTTTGATCATTTGTGAGCTGTGAATTATTAACTTAGATTTAATTCGCAGCACTAGGCATTAAGTCCACCTATAAACAGTGTTTATTTTTTTGCGTAAAAGTTTAAATAAAATAATAAATAATAATTCCTAATCCCAGTCAGCCTCTCCGAACATCTGAGGCGACTGGGATTCCGAGACGGATCGCTCCAAGCTCAAATGCAGAAAGCGGTGCTCCTCGATACCGCATGCATCGTCCGCCGGTTTCTCTCCCTTTCGCCCTAAGTCCTAACCCTCGGCCGTTTGGTCTCCCCTGCCGAGGGTTTCCGTCTTGTTGGGTCCTATTTATGTATGTATTATATGTTTATTTTTATTTATAACATTTATTTTATATATGCAATATATATGTTTATTTCTATTTGAAAACCCAACCAGACGCGAAATCAAATGAATATCCCCCCAATAATAATTCACGTGACTATCGTCATCTTGGTGGCACCGTATCTTCATATTATATTGATTACATTCCTCAACCGCAGTGACTCTTGGCTTGGCGCGTTTAGAGCTTCGCGCCGAAACGTAGAATTGAACGATTTGTATTTAAGGGCCGTGTTTGTAAGCTCATCAAAAACTGAATTAAATTCAAATTGTATAATACTGTACTTGTAAATATTGTTTCTTATTTTAATATATTGCCACAGCAGATCTGCTGCTTTGCCATGTTTTAATTATTTAAATTTAATGTTTAATAGAGTTTTATGTTCTTTAATATAATTTTAATAAGGCATAAGTAGTCGAAATTTTAAAAAAAAGATACTTCGCATGTAATCAAATTAATTTTCATTTTTGTTTAAACTGTCAAAATTGAATGATCTTTTTTTCAATTTTTTTTTTTTATTTTATTGACATAAATAAAACCATATGAATATCGAGATATGCCTTTATTATAAGTTATTAGTGTAATGTAGATAATACAAGTATGCTCAGTATCGTTTTGAAATACTGTCCTAAGTAATGTAACATTATATATGAGAATTTTTAATCTGTGACGTTTAAAGATAAATGGATACTTTGAGCAGATGGAATTCTGTTATGAACAAAATCAAACCCACCAATCAGATTATATAAAAAAAAACATGATATATAAAAGTTAAATATCCAAATGTATATTTTGTACATAGTTTACACAGAAATCTGGAGGCATAATTTAATTTATTTTTAATAGTAACAGCATTTCTATTTCCAGCGGTAGTTTGTGTAAGGTGACAATAAAAGTTTACTTAAAAATGTTCGTCTTTTTATTTATATGCATTTTCTACCATTTAGTTTGACGGGTTTCTTCGGTTTTCCTTCACCCTGAAAAAAAAAAACCATGAAAACGCACATTGCAGTAAAGAACCAACGGATGTTTCGAGTTTCCTCATTGTCGACCAAATATGTCGTTTTAGGCGGCAGATGTTATTTCAGTCCAAACCTAGAACCAAACTTCGTCTTAACAGAAACTAGCATTGTGATCGTGTTTGGGATTGTTAGACTTATTCGAAACAACTTCATTTCTTTTTCCTTTAATTTTTTTAAATATCGCCCTTACTATAGAATAATAATATCCTGTGTTGTAAGAGCGTTTTATAAACATGAATTACACGTGGACAAAGACTCAGAACCGAAACAACTATCTATGGGTCACACAAATACTTGTCCCGTGTGGGAATCGAACCCGTGACTCCGATATCGATCTTGTTAAAAACGTAAGACTTAATATAGATCAAAGAAAACTTGCTCTCGGTGTCTTTATTGACTTAAAAATAAAGCATTAGAAAGCGTACTTATGTTAGTCACAAAATACTTCTTGCCAACATAGGTACAACAGATAGCATATAAAATGTTTAAATTATACATTTCTAAGAGATACAAACATTTAGTTTTTACAAATAGTAAAAACTAAATGTGGTGTTCCCCAAGGATTCATTCTGGGCCCTCTGCTATTTTTCATTTATAAATTATATACTCGATGTAGGGTTAAATAGAAGGCACCAGGCAGATAATACAGTTTGTTCTATTATGTAAATACAATAGATAGTCTAATACGTGTCTTCTGCATAAAGAGATCTTAATTTATTAAATAATTGGCTCCAACTTAACTTATTAACGATCAACACCACGAAAAGGAACGAATATTATTTTCGCTGCAAAAAAGATTAGGAAAAAAATAGTTCTCTTAAAATAAACAGTGTAACTATAAATAATGTTAACAAAATTTAGGCTGTATTAACCTTACCTAACACCTAATAAAGAACTTTTTGAAGAGACAAAATTAATGAATCTTGCTCAAACAGGCAATATAACGCCAAAAGAAGTATAACGAAGTCTTATCTAATAATCATCAAAAACACATTAAATACACCCTACATTAACATTTGTTTTCACGAAATATATATTTTTGTAATACTGTTTAAATTGATTGATTGGTCCCAAATTTCATACATATTTGAATACACGAATATTCGTATTGCGTTACCTCTTCATTCCCTGATACAGTCCGGTGTAGTAACCGCTCATGTACCAACTGAGCAGCATGGACGATATCGCCTGCTCTTCGGAATTGTTGCGTCCGGATGGGAAACCAATTGGGGGTGGCGGTGGTAGCGGCATGTCCATCGTGCCGAGCTGTAAGCGATTATAAACGTTAATTGTAAACACGAATATAATCTTCGCGCTTTATCATGGCAATAGAGATTGCCCGATTGCTACTGCGAACTCCTTTCATAGCGATACCCATACGAATCTCGCATTCGCTCCAACCGCTACTGTGATACGCAATAGGGTTGTCGAAGAAATATCGATGCATTATCGTTTATTTGTTGGATGTATCGATAATTTTAAGCAATTTTTAATTTTTCATTATACTACATACATCAATATAAAATTCTAACTATAGAAAAGGTATAAAACGATATTTTCCTCAGATCAATGGTGGCATGTTTAGCGCACTGAACTTGATGAGTCTATTATACCCAGAAAAGAATACAAAAAAATTCTTCTGTTTAATATTTATCAACCCTGTCCTTTCAAATAATAGCCTCACTATCATCAGAAAGGTATCCCAAGAGCACATAAATCAAATAAATATTGGTTTGATTAACAAATAATTATTATCCTTTATGATTTACTTAACTTATCTCACATGACAAGAATAAGGTATGTTAGGATAAATATAAAAATTTTTAGAGAACATTGTACCCGATATATTGATATAGATATTTTTGGAAAATATTGGGTCTTATTTTCACATCTGACATCCCTATTACCTATTACTAAAGGACGGTAATTTCCTATGTTGCAGTCATTGCTTTATATCGTGTGCAGGCAAAGCACAAGACATAAAATAAAGAACTTTTTCATCAGAGTAAATGCATAAAAATGTTGAAGCAATTTTATGATAATTAATGATTGACTAATTGTTTATAATTTTAATACAGAAACAGCTTAATACTCACATTTCCTAAGAAAGCAGGGTTGAGCATTGACATTTGCCCTAAGCCCATTTCTGGCAAATAGTTTGACATTCCTTGGTTCTTCTTCTTCTTCTGTGCTTTCTTTTTCCTGAATGACCTTTCTGGGAATGTAAATACATGTTATTAAACTTTAAAGATTATGGCATGGCGTTAGTTATATTCTTAATTAAAAAAGCTATTTTTAGGGTTTCTTACCCAAAGGGTAAAACGGGACCGTATTACTAAGACTGCTGTCTGTCTGTCTGTCCTTATGTCAACAGGCTGTATCTCATGAGCCCTGATATTTAAGACAGTTGAAATTTTTACAGATGATGTATTTCTTTTGCTTCATAACAACTTAACAGCAAATACTAAACAGAATAAAGAAATATTTACGTGGGGCTCCCACACAACACGATTTTTTGCCGTTTATATCGATAATGGTGACGGAACCCTTCGTGCGCGAGACCGACTCGACACGACTCGACTGGCTGGTTTTAAAAAAACTATCTACTGTAGATTTTTTGAGCTGGCATCCATATAATGAACAGATGTGGTTCATATATAACTCAATAGTATTGTTGCTAGGAATCGACTTGCGATAAACGGTAGGAAAAATTAGGTTTGACCCATTTTGAACAAAACACCTCACAAATAGACATTATAAGGCCTTGCAAGTTATGTGTTAGAAGAATAGTGTTCATTCTATGATTCGGTTTAAAGAAGTTTATTTCTCATAAAAATTATAACATTTTGTTTAAAATAAGATTATAATTTAAATTTAATTATTAAATATTATAGTTACACTTCTGGCACATGCATTTTTAGTTAATATTAAAATTATTTTAGGGACATAGTATAAAAATGATTACGATATATTCTGAATATAGTATATTTTTTTTGTTGTTGCTCTGCTACACCCTAGGGTTCCAGATGCGTCGACAATCTTTTGAAAATTGGGCTCCGGCCACCTCACTCACCAGACGAAATGTGAAAGCATTATACTTCCACTTTACGCCGGTTTCCTGTAAGGTCGTGGTACTTACCCAGATGAGCCTGCCCATTCGTGCAACAGCCGAGGCTGCTGCGTTGCCCTACCACCGTCTAGTATTAATGGCATATGATTTTTTTTCATATTATGTTAAATAATTAATTATAGTATGCTTTCATATTTATACTATTACATTCTATATTTCAAATTAGGTAAGTTGTTAAGCTGTGCCGCCTCTAATAGATAATTTTCTTTCCATATTTTTTATATGATAAAATTTACGAGGTTTTGATTTAGCTTCGGTTTCGACCAGTGAATATAATTTCCGTGACAAACTCTGTGTACTGAATAGTCACGGTCGATCTCATGGCTTTTAAAAGTATTGCATTGTCCGCTATTGAAGGGTACAATAGATAATACAAAATACAACCTGCGCTACCAGCGCTAGTGGCAAACGTCGCTGCACTCCATATTATCCGGCGACTGACTGGCGAATCCGTCATCCGCTTTATCGCATAGCGCCTGCTGAATTTGACGGGTGCGTTCGTTTTTACCCAAAGACGGCTTCAATGTGCTTATTGACACTATCTCCGAGTTATCATAGCCTGAAACGACATTAACTGTTAGCATTTACAATTGAAACCTTGTTCGTGTATTGCTATACCTGTCAAGTGAGATTTATTATTTTATTCTTAATATAAGAATAAAAAGGGACTTATTTATGCAATAGTTAGATACACACACATACTGAACTTCAAACTTAATTCATATTATTACATATAATTTTCTTTGCTTATGTGATCAACATATTTATCAGCAATCATAACCACATCTGATCATAACTGAGTGCTTTAATATCATATTGAGTTTACCAATTTTTTTCATGCAAGATTGTGGTACTTACCCAGACGGACCTGCCCATTTGTGCAACAGCGAACGCTGTTGTGTTGCCCAACTAAAGTTAAAGTAATAAACTAGTAACAAACAAAAAATAATGTATACTGCTAAACAAAAGAACATTTATATTTTGTATTGACATTAATAGTTTGCATCAATATACAGTACTTGTTACATTTAATCAATCCCAACTGTCCATTTTAGAACTCATACCTAAGAATCTTACAACACATTCTGTGTCGCTGATCAGGCTTTCTATAAACGCCTCGTACTCCTGCTCATCTCCCTCATATATTGCTCGGCATGCCATACCAGCTTTCCACTGTATCACTTTTTTACGTGGATTTTTCGCCCCACTCGTTTGGGATGGCTCAACCTTGTTTTCTTCTGTATGATCTAAAAAAAAAGTATTTATGAAAAGTAAATTCATATAAAACATGACTCCCATGAAATTAATATATCTGCAAAAGAGAAAACCCATAAAGGGAAAAGAATGTCAAGTTGCCTTAATATGAAAGCATAAATATAAAGGTAAATTGCAACAATAAAACTCATATATAAATTAATGTACATGTCATATTTCAATTCTCCGTCTGTAGGGAAATATTGTTTAAAATTTATTTTATATATATTTTATATATTTATATTAATATATTGGAATGTAATATGCAAGTCTTAGTTTCTTCAATCAATATATGAGTGAACCTTCAAGAACAGAGTATATTCAGTCAAGTTTTACATATTCAAAAACACCTATGACAATAGCACACTTTTAATTATATGTACTTAAACAAACAGAGTTTAAATCCCGGTCACAGCACAAATTAAATTGTTAAAGCAAAATTTCAGTGCTGATTTCCATGCTCAGAGATGAAGGAAAATTGTGAGGAAACATATACTGGGAGATTTTTTGAGAAGTGCCCAAATTTACACAGGAGGTTCAGACTCGGTAGTAGTATCATATACTTTTTATATAACATTATTTATGTCTAGAATTTAATAGAAAAAATGGATACACTTAGAAAAGCCTGTATATTTTAATTGAATTATAAAAAAATATTAAAATATATTTTGAAGATGTGAAATTGGCCAATGCGCAGTGGGGTCCCATAATGGACTAGGCTTTAATACCCTCTGTACAGAGATGCCTTTGCCAAGCAGGGGGACATTAAAAGGCTTTACACGTTATCGTTATAAACAATAGCTGCTTGGTTAAACCCACACCTTTTTCTGTGCTGGATTCGTTCTTAAACTGTGTATTAGTTGACATAGCAAAACGTTTTGCCACTTCATCACTTGCAATTGATAGAGCCTTGTCGTATGCATGTTCCAACTTTGAGTCATCCCAGATATCATTCTGTTCTTCGCGTACGTCTTCTTCTGATTCTGACTAAAAAGTACATAGTTTTAGACATTGGCATGCTTATAAAAGTGTTCCCTATTCTAATTACGGTTAAAGGTTTAAAATGAATGAGATCTTAAATCTATATTTTACAATTAATTAAAATACCAGTTTTGAATAAACTCAGTGTTGGCATAATTGGATCGATAATACACGCAATCTTACATGGAACAAAATTATAACTTACAGGATTCATGCCTTTGACATAAATAAAATCACCGATTGACATTACTTATTTCTTATAATGGTCTTTACTTTATAATAATAAAACGTAAAATTTGAATTCTAAATTGATTTTTGTTGTTTTTTAAAATTTATGTTAAACGTCAATCAAAAAGTCCCCATGTTGTTGTTGTAGATTGTTTGTAGTAGTGTAGTATCCATTTCTGTAGTATTACTTTACTCTAAGGTAGTATCTCAACTCAACAGGGTGACCATTTCAAAAATGGCAAATCTGCCCAACACCAGCAAAAAATCTGCCAAACTCAACACCAAAAATGCCAAAAATTTGCCATCATATTATAATATTGGAGACAGTACAGAATAATTATTTCATTAAATAGGCATTCTTCAGCATAAGGCATTTAACATCTTCTTGTTGGTCGTTCCCTCTCCCTCACCGCTGAGGATCGTGACTCATTTTCAATTGATCGACGAGCTGTCTCCATCGGTTTCGCTCTATCATCTAGTGAAGTACGGCGCTTATGAGGATTTCAACGTTATCAGAATTTTGATCCACCCACCTTTAGGATTACGGCAAAGAGCTTTTAAAAGAGCTTTTCAAAGTTGGAAATATTTAAAAAGTAAATTAAAAATTTAGTTTTTACTTGAAAATGTCTTTCAGAATAATATCTAGTTTACAATTGCAAGCTTTGCAAAATGCCACATCAGGATCCTCCTTAGCTCTGGAAATCCAGAAAGGAAGCAAAAAATATTTTCTCTTCATCATGCATGGAAGATACAACTACATACATTAAACGCCAAAAGAGAATAAGGTATGGAATATATACAAAATTATAATATATACAAAAACGTTGACATGAGCCTCGATAAATTATATTAATAACAAAATAAACCTTGTTGCTGATTTGTTACCGTTCATAATCATAAGACTTATGTACATTAAAATACAATAATCGGGAAATTCCCGTACTGTATAGCGTGGGATGAAAATTGACACTTCAGAAAATAATTTGCTACCAAATATTAATAAAAGTAAATAATACGACATAGAATATTATAATCATTTTAAATATTAATATTAATTTATACGTACAATTGTATTTCAAAAATAATAAAGATTTCCTTGAAATCTGCCACTTTTTTGAATCGTCAGCCTAATCTGCCTGCGAAATCTGCCCAAATGGCATAAATCTGCCACAAATGGTCACACTGCAAAATCAAATCAAAATCAAAATCAAAAATATATTTATTCAAATAGACGCTTGCGCGCTCTTATGAATCGTCAAATTTACATCAAAGATTATGTGTATAGGTTCGTAAGGTACCACCGGTTCGGAAAGCGGTTTCTGTTGAGAAGAGACCGGCAAGAAACTCAACAGTTGCTCTTTTTCAAAAATATCAAGGTACAATATAATATACAGGTATAATAGTCTTATTCTAGCCTACGTGAGTATCAACAGTATTAACTCCACACATTGGCGTCGTCGAGATATTCTGAAAGGGTATAATATGCTTTAATCATCAGTTGATTTTTAATTTTACATTTAAATTGGTCAAGCGGCAGACTTAATATCGACTGTGGGATTTTATTATACATGCGTACACTTTGCCCCATGAACGACTTATTTACTTTTTGTAGACGAAACAATGGCGTAGTAAGTTTGTCCTTATTTCTAGTGTTTATTTTATGTCTGTCACTATTCTTTAGGTAATAATTAAGGTTATGACGTATATACAAAACTACCCCACAACAAAATGCCGTAAGACAAGATGCTGTGAAAATAACTAAAGTAAACAAGTCTGGCAGTGTCGATGTCTGTTAGCTGCCTAACCCTTCTAATCGCAAAAACCGCGGAGCTCAGCCTATTCGCAAGAGATGATATATGGGGACTCCACTGGAGATTTGAATCTACTGTAATTCCCAGAAATATAGCAGACTCAACTGGATTAATGGGTACGTTATTTAATATTAAACTAAAACTTTTCCTTCTTATACTGGGAAGGCTAAAAAGAATACATCTGTTTTTTTTGGCATTTAATACCATAATTATTAATAGTAAACCAGTGGAGGATATGTGAAAGTGCACTATTCACGTCGTCATAATTTAATACGTTTCGGTCAACTTTAAAAATAAGCGATGTATCGTCAGCAAACAGTACAACATCACACAACCCACTGGCATAAAAGGGGAGATCATTAATATATACTAAAAATAATAATGGGCCCAAGATTGATCCTTGTGGGACTCCCATTTTCATCTGGGACCCAGCGGAATTAACATCATTTATAGATACTTTTTGAATTCTATTACTAAGGTAAGAGGCAATGAGATTGAGGGCGATGCCACGAATGCCATAATATTCTAGCTTTTGAAGGAGAGTTTTATGGTCTACGCGGTCGAAGGCTTTTGAAAGGTCACAAAAGACACCTATTGCATCTTGTGACCTTTCCCAGGCGTTATAAATATGTTTGACAAGTGCGACGCCCGCATCTGTTGTCGATCTGCCTTTAGTGAATCCATATTGCTCATCGTGAAAGATTTTGTTCACATTAAAATGAACTAAAAGTTGATTTAATATTAGCTTTTCAAAACTTTACTAAGAGATGGAAATATGGAAATAGGTCTATAGTTGCCTGGATCATTTTTATCACCACTTTTGTAGACAGGTATTATCTTACTAAATTTTCATTATCAACTCAATATATATAATATATAACTAAATATATATAATATAATCAATATCATTTGCAACTCAATATATAAGTGTATCATCTATGATCTATGGTATGATGTATCAAACTATTCAATAATTCAATTCAATTATCAATCAATAGCTCCCTTTCAGAGACCAGGGTTGGATTTATATGATATTTATAATGATAGTACAAAAAATTTAAAAGCATAGTATTTGTAAAAAAATATATAGTACACTTTATAATTTCGATTTTAACAGGCATTAATTTACTCCTCTTCCAAGTTTATGATTTCTTCAATAATAGTTTTATCCGTAGAATTTAATCTTGTTAACATGTCCTCAGTAAGTCAGTCAGTAGCAGGGTTAGATTTAGGTGCGGTAAAAAAGATAATACGAAACATTTTAAAATCAAAATAATTTAATGCCAAATACTAATTATTTTAATTATTTATTTATATTTTATAATTTTTTGGTTCACTATTATTTTCATAGTTAATGCACAAAAAATAAATTCGTTTACTCATCAACTGGCAGAAAATTCTTATCAGTTAGAATTTTGAATAAAAATGTAACAGCCGTACCATAAAAATAATAAAATAATCGTATTATTGGACAATTATGAACTCTGTTAATTACTTTATTGGGTGCAAAGTGACTGTTTGAGAAAGCGGAGTATTGAAAAAATCCAATTATTGTCGAAAAAGTTAAAGAGTTACAACGTGATTACAACCGAAAGAACTTCTTTAGATGTTGAATTGGCAGTGTATGGTATAATATTGGTCATTTAGATAAAGTAATGAAATTATAGTTCGTTTTCGTACTTTCCTTAGATATGGATTTATGCTTGAAATTATAGTACCAATACTATAATTATAGTACAAAATCCTCTTGTATCTTGTATTAGCTGTTGTTTTTGCTTTCAATTCCAAGACTATTAAAGGGTTTGAAAAACAAAATCCTATTGGTCAGTAGGAATAAAATCAGTAGAGATGTTGAAAAAATATCGATGTATGGATATTTAAAAAAATATTGATATACCGATATTTTTTCTGTTTACGACTCTTTATTATAGGATATTTGTCACGTTAGATATTTTTATAAATATTTTTATATATTTATTCATTCTCGACATCCCTAAAAATTAGCACAATTCTCAATTTTTTTACCATCTTTAATCACAACACAATGAAATTGCATCTATGTTTATTTCATTTAGCTTAATTTAAGCAATCTTACTAACACGTGGTAACATCCACTTTGTATTGTTTAAAAACATTGTCATTAACCACGTTATTACAACCTAAACCTTTACCTCAACCCATAAACACCCACGCCATTCAGCACAAACACAAGTTATCAAAGGTAAGACATACCATTAGCGTTGGCCTTTGTTAACACATTCACTAAGGCTTAAACATAAAAAAAACCTAGACCCATGTTGCATTGGCATTTATATTGGTAAATTATCAATGTTATAGTATTTTTCCGTATTATCCTGAGATATGAATAGTATACACTGTGTCGTTACAACCGCGACAATAAATGAAACATCTAACGCTACTTGCCAATAATAATAAAAAAATGTAATGGCTAAAAAAAATCCATTATTAAAAAATATTGTGCGTGGAGTCCCTTCGTGCGGAAGAAGTGAAATTTCGTAATGTGGAAATGAAAAAAAAAAGGAAGGGAAAATAGGGTGGAAATTGATTTTTAGTTAAATCATATTGTTTCTTTAAGACAAACTTTATTAACATTGCTTACAATTCACAATTGATCGCATGTTTTAATTATTATTTTCGAGTGGAGAAATATAAAAATATATGCAATGAATAGAAACATAAAATATATCTAAAATAATTAACAATCACATGCCTTCAAGTGCCACGCATTCACAGGACGAGTTCTGCCTCTTTCTATTCCCCCTCCCCAGGACAGGAGCGTTGAACGTTTAACGCAACAGTGCTTTCATACCATGGTAGCGATAAACGTTTAACGCAACAATAAACTTGTTGGAAGTCGCATTTAGAGAAGATGTATGGTGAATGTGCAGCAAATGGGAATCTGCGGCATATCTTCTCGTTGCCACTACCACAATACCTAAAGAGCAGAGTCTGTAATCAAAACGTCTTGCCCGTCATGATACAGGGTCGAGGCATGGAACATAGCAGTGAGACTGGGCCACCGATTACGCTTCGCTCAGTTTGCTATGGAAAGGTACTAAGTATATATATCTATGCTCGAAACGAAATCATCCGGCAGAGGACCAAAGTGTAACATATAATTATTCATGCACTTATTTGACTATTCTTTTATTTGAGTATACAAAAATGGAACCCAACTGCGATTGAAAACAGTTAAACGTCCGCTGATGCCTTACTACGCCTAGCACAGCACGCATTAAACACACACATGGTTCAGCACGCTAGACGGCAAGTGCAAGGTTTCTGATTGGCAGCCTACACACGACCCCCCCGTGTATCTTTGGCGATCCAAGCCAAGAATCGAGCTCGGGAAATAAAACTAAAATAAACGTTATATATCCGTAAACATACTTTCATTTAGTCACACAGAAACCAGTGAAAAGTGTTAGTGTAAACTGTAACTTGCAACTTTTATACACTGTGAATACTACTATCCATTTCAGTAAATGCACTCTGTGCTACTATCTAATCGTAGTGATTACATTCTCTCTGCTTACATCTGTGACTGAGTGTCATTATGTCAGTTGTCATCAGTTTTCAGGGTCAGGTCAGAACTCAGATTGTTGTTTGTGTTTACGGTGCGGTGTTCATCTGTTTACAATTACAATAATTATTTAAATTGGATACTGGTGCGCTACTGCACATAAAATGAGTTATTATATTATTATTTATACCAAATAACGCTTTATATATCGCTTATATTCTATTTTCAATAAGCGATATTGGTGATTTTGCAATGCAGTTGAAGTGAAAATATTTGTTGCCGTCTGTCCATTACAAGATATCATCCATTTTAAACTATAAAGTTTTTTAATAAGAATTTCGATTAGTTAACATTATTTAAAAATTTTACATTTGAAAATTGTGTTCAGATTGAACATTTATATGAATGAAAATTCATATCTGATCAGTGTATAATGTGTATAGAGATATTGAAAATAGTATTTAAATTATAAAAACTCCTACAAACATGGATGGTGCTCATGTTAGCGATATACAAGCGAAAAGTACTGAATCTAGTGAACCAACTTCCTTAATAACCGCTAATAACACTCGGTGTACCAAAAGTGATACTGTAAGAAAACGTTTACTTACCAGTCCTACATCTGTTATCCAAAATGGGAATCAATCCATCCAATGCTCTAGTAAAGCCAAAAAGAGAAAGAGTTCTATATGTAAAGATGACAAATATATTGCAAAGGCAGAAGATAATTCAAATGAAGATGACATTGAAGAGGAAAAAGAGATTTTTGCTTTATTGGTTTCAAATATACCTTTTCAATGGACTTCTGAGCAAATCACTGAATTCATTCAGGATCATGTAAGTATTTTTATAAACCTTCATGCTTTTTTACAATTAAGGATAACTTACTGTAGTTTACTATCTTAAGTAAGTTTTATATCTGTATATGGTACTAGGGCAATCTAAGAATTAGGTGTCAAATCTGAAGGAGTAATTGGAGCGAAATAATTTGTCATATAATGCATGTAAATAAAACAACATTCATTCGTTTTTATTGGTAATTTTAAGAGGTAACTCACTTAAATTTTGGTGGATAATATGGTGTTATAAGATATTTAAAAACCATAAATAACAAACACTTATTTCTACTTAGGTCTTAGTGGCTCTCAATATACATAGTTAATGTTCACTCAACATTCCTGCCTAATCAGTTTGAGATAAATAAATGTGGAACCTAATTTATCCTAATTTATGACTTTGTTCAACTGATATGTAATTCTCTCAGTTAAAAAATATTTGTAAGTGGAATAACAAATTACATTTCAAAATACATTTTTGGTTTTCTTGTATTACTGTTCAGTGCCCGGATACTAAGCCATCATGGCTCACAGGGCAGTTGTAAAATAAAATAGACAAACAATAATCTGTTTGTTTATCCATTACAGAAAATTGATGTGTACGCTATAGAGTATTTGGATGGTGGAGACCCAGACTTTGGTCAAAGATTACGGCTGTCATTCTTGAGTTTTGAAAAGTGTAATGAGGCGAGAAAGAAACTCAAACTGAAGATGGTGAAAGGCCGTAAACTGTCTGTTGCTTTTATTGGTGAGTACATTTCAATTGTCATATATATCATAAATGCGAAAGTAACTCTGTCTGTCTGTCTCGCTATCACGCCAAAACTACAAAACCAATCTAAATGAAATTTGGTACATGTATAGTCTAGAGCCTGAGAAAGGACATATTTTTTAATTGGAAAAAAGTGTTGTAAAGGGTTGAAAGGTTAAAGAAAGATATTTATGTAAGGGCTGCAACGCGAGCGAAGCCGCGGGCTAAAAGCTAGTTAAATAATCATAAATATAATAAATGTCAGTGGCATGGCTAGTCTTTCATAGAGACTTGCCTACTTCAATAGATGAAATATCAAAGTATTAATAATTCTAATTAATCTTTAGACTTGTGTGGTCCATCCCCCTGCCTCCATACAAACTATATAGTCATAGATTTTATGATGTGGTTTTTATTCAAGAATTATTGATGTGACTAATTTACCATTATCATCATTATCAACATGTTGCCTGCAAGTCACAGTTGGTTTTAAGACACCGCTAAGACCTGCTTTTTTATGTCAGAAAGTGGCAAACGAGCTGACGGTTCACCTGATGTTAAGTGATAACCGCCTGCCCATGGACATTTGCAACACTCGTGGGGTTGCAGATGCGTTGTCACCTCTTAATAATGTGGGCCCCGGCTACCTCACTCACCAGACGAAAAGCAGAAGAGTAACACTGCTACTTTACGCTGGTCTTATGTGAAGTCGTGGTACTAATCCGGACGGACCTGCCCATTCGTGCAACAGCGAAAACTGTTGCGTGGTCCTACCACCGCTAAATTGATTTCTTGTTATGTATACGTAACTGTATGTATGGACATAGTTTGTCTCACGCATACATTTGTAGATGCTACACAATATTGGAAAAGTAAGGAACAACATTACAAACAAATCGTGACAAAATCTATTAAACACATTTATTTCACGATGCATAATGTTTTGGTAAACCCAAGAAGTCATTTCGATCAAGTTGATGATAAAAACTTTATTACTGACTACATAATAAATTGATGGTTAGATTTACCAAAGAATAGCACCCGCCTATATTATCTTGCCGCGTTTCGTAGTATGCGACAAAAGGGCCAGTCAGAAAGTTGCAGAGGTTTCTGTGTACATACTAGGCACTTCCAAGCAACAGTCTTCGCTGTTGCACGAATGGGCAGGTCCGTCTCGGTAAGTACCACGAACTCACAGAACACCGACGTAAAATGGAAGTGTTATACTTGTGCGTTTCGCTTGGTGATTGAGGTAGCCTTAGTCCACTCAATTGTAAGGTGGAAACGCATCTGTGTTGCAAATGACAATAGGTGGCGGTTATCATGAGGTGACCCGCCGGCTTGTTTGCCACTTTTTTTTTTTATGTGAAAAGTTACCAAACGAGTTGCTAAGCGAGCAGACGGATCACCCGATGTTAAGTGAATACCGCCGCCCATGGACATCTGCTACACCCGAGGGTTTGCAGATGCGTTGACAACTTTTTTGGAAATTGGGCTCAGGCTACCCCGCTCACCAGACGAAACGCGAAAGTATACTTCCACTGTACGCCGGTCTTCTGTGAGGTCGTGGTACTTACCCGGACGAGCCTGCCCATTTGTGCAACAACCGAGGGTGCTGCGTGGCTCTACCACCTTCTCACATAAAGAAAAAAGGAAGGATTCCATTGTTTGCCTCATCAACAGTTACTGTATCAATAATGTTCTCGTCTTCCTTCCAGTTCCAGAGGATTCAGACAGTGACATTGATTCAAAAACATCCCTTCTTATCGATAAAAGGTATGGTTGAGTAGATAAAAAGGCTACATGTAATATTTACTGGTGTTCTATTCAAAAACAGAAATCAACTAGTTTCACATTATTTACGTATTTTTTTTTGTTAAAGTAAAATCGTTATCACTAAGTTTTATTATTTTTAGTTTTATATTGTCAGAGACTAGCGATCATGCTTTCTATTTAAGGGTAAGAATTGTTCAAGAGTCTTTATCGACTAGAATGAATTGCCTATAGGTTTGTGCATGTCATTGATCAGGTTTTCTCCTATTATAACAATAAGAAATAACAGGTTTAGAAAACTTTACAGTAAATTTCTATCAGCGCCGACGAATTAACAATGTATACATATTCTATATATCTGCTAACCCTTCCACATAGGAAACAGAGAGACAACAGGATCGAGCTTTGTTTAGCTTTTGGTAAAGTTTCTCTATTTGAGGTTATGACAACCGTTTTTTTAAGTCGACAGACAGACATTTCAATCTATATATATTATTTATCCAAGATTTTTTCTTCGGTACCCCATAACTTCATTTATTAACTTTGATGATTCAAACACCATGTTTAAGCTTTGTTTTTTTTTTATGTTACCAGTAGTTTAAATTTTTCACAAGAAAAACTTTCGTTTCGTAACTATGGAGAATGTATGATAATCAATGTCATCTATTGACAATTTGTTTAAGCGAAATATAACGAAGTGGATTTAAGCTTATAGAATAGGATACCTTTCATGTTATGATCTACTTATTTACCCATATTACTATTCTGTCAGCGAACACGTTATTAGTTATTTGAGATTTTAACTGTGGAAGGAACACTCAACATTTTTCACTGCTGCACGAATGGGCAGGTCCGTCCGGGTAATTACCACGACCTCACAGAAGACTGGCGTAAAGTAGAAGTGTTACACTTCTGCGTTTCTTCTGATGAGTGAGGTAGCCTGGGCCCAATTTATTTAAAGGTGGCAACGCATCTGCAAACCTACGGGTGTTACAAATGTTCATGGTCGGCGGTTATGACTTAACATCGGGTAAACCGCCAGCTCGTTTGCCACTTTATCATATAAAAGAAAAGATAAGAATAACGTAGAATGGGTACTGAACAAAGAGTCTTTTGTCATTCAACAAGCGAGTGCAAACCGGATACCTTTCATTTATGAATATCTAATTATTTAACCATATCACTATTCGGTCAGCGATCACGTTATTATTAAACGGTTTTATTTAGCTCGACACGTACGGAATTTGTTTATTTATTTGGGTCAAAATTAGAAATTGAAATTTAAGCACCTTCTCGTTGTCAGATTGATCTGAAATTTGGTACACACATTTAATTTAGATGACAATACAATATTGTAGTTTTCAGTGCACAAAAAAAAACATAAAATAAAACCGTTTAACTTAAAAGTTTTTATACGGTTTTATTATACTTCAATAAATCCAACGAACCGGATGAACAGTTTTATAATATATATAACAAAATTATTTATTTGAGATTACAATAACGTAGAACGGGTACTGAACAAAGTGTCTTTTGTCATTGAACAAGCGAGTGCAAACCGGCGACCACGCCGTCGCCTCTGCCTCTGGAGGTGGACGTGGCGCCTGACCCTGAAGGGTTTTACGGTCTGAGGGCGGACTACTTAGAGTCCTTGGGGATAAGGCCGCCAATCGACAGATGGGTGCACGTTTCTAACGTAAGTCTGGTTTTCGACTAGTCTCTGGTAGTATTATATAGTCTTATAATATTCTCGTAGGGTGGTATTGGGGAGGGGGAGGGAGGGGGGGGGGGTTGTCAATTGGGAGGAATATAATAGGGTGTTGCAGGTGTTCATGGGCGGCGTTAATCACTTATCATCAGGTGAGTCTCCTGCTCGTTTGCCCCTTTTCTCCATAAAAATTATAATTTTTTATCGCTATTTACTATTTTCGCTTTACATATTTGTCATCACTAGATAGAATTTCCATAATTTGACTCTAGATGGTCTCAGATTTCTTGTTTAGCATTTTTCATTATATATTATATATAATTCTATTTATTATTTCTATTCTTGTGTGTATAAATTAATCAGCGTAGAGACGTTTTTGCGTTTGTATTATTCGGTCAACAGATATACAATTAAATACATATGAAACTATAATATTGAATAAAGGACTTCTTCAACTCCAGATATTCCGTAGTCATCCTCACTCTTTCTTTCAACCGACAAATCGGTGGATGACATTTCTTTCTGATGAATTTCTTTTCCTCTTTGGACGCATTGTTCCATTCCTCTGTTGTTGTGGATTTTTTACCTTAGCTAATGTCTATGCCATAATGTATAGGCTATGTTAAAACAAATAAATGAATTAATTAATAAGAAATTTTGACAAAATCGCATGACACTTCGCGAGATCGCAACTGGCGTAAATCTTTTCTTTCTGGTTTTAGTCATTGTATCCATAACACCACTACACCACTACTTGTTGAAACAGTACAGCAGTACTTGTATTAGTAGGTAATGTAACCTCGATATAACATGAACGTAGTACACCTGCTTTTACCCATTGCTTACTGCACTGTCACTGGATCCAGAGACTATCACATCTTCTACACTTCTATTACACTTCTACTACACTTCTACTACACTTGTATTCCTAGCGGCCGAACTTGATTTCGAAACGGTAACTCAATAATGGGTGAATTTCCTTGGTCGATCAGTTCAGATGCGACAAATCGGAGCTGAAAGAGGTATTGGAGCTCGCCGGGCAAGTTGTGATATGCAACGTGATAATGACCAGAGAAAGATATTCCAAGGTCATGTACAGCCACCCCCTGGAAGCGGTCCAGGTGAGATAGTACAAGCTATTTTAGATGTTACATATAATTTTTTCAAAAATTACCAAATGGCAGGGCTGCTCCACAACTTTGGCTGTTGCACGAATGGGCAAGTCCGTCCGGGTAAGTACCACGACCTCACAGAAGACCGGCGTGAAGTGGAAGTATACCTCTGCGTCTGGTGAGTGAGGTAGCCGGCGCCCACTTTAATAAAAAGTTGCAACGTATCTGCAGACCTACGGGTGTTGCAAATGTCCATTGGTGGCGGTAATCACTTGGCATTAGGTGAACTGCCTGTTCGTTTGCCATCTTTGACGACCTTATTGCCGTAGTGATAGTGTACTGTCCCTTGCGCCAGAAGGTTTAGGTTCGAACCCCACCAATCAGATGAGAAACGTTTTGTGATGAACACGGTGTTTTTCTGGTTTCTGAGGTTTTATATATCTATAACGAGTACTTATTTACGCCAAAGTATGTTTCCAACATATCTGGTATTCACAGTAAGTACAAGACTTGCACAGTTTTTTAATAGACAGAGTTGTGTAAAAATATGTTACAGGCGGTGGGCATCTTGGCTATTGGCTGAAAAATTTCTCACATCATCGTTATATAACCTTGCCTGTGTCAACTCCATCCTAATTGTCAATGTTATATTGTGTCAAGTATCCTTAGTTATAGTTACTCTGTATACATCAATAATTTTCTTACCTTTCCATTAGCAAATATTACTAGTCTAGTTTCATAGTTTACTTTTTTACAGACTTTAAAGAGTTTACAATAATTTCCCGATCCTATACAACAGTTCAGTGTAAAAACCGAGCTCTAGGTCCGTGGTCTTTTTACACTTTTATATTTTTCTCACAAGTCTAGATTTAAACGTTTCAGTAAACTTTCATGGAGCACACACTTATCATTCATCGCTCCGTACCAAATCTCCCGTAGGCCGTGTCGATGCTGAACGGACGGCTGTTATACGGGCAAGTGCTCAAGGTGTCGATGTACCAGTGTCCGCACGAGGTGATCCTCCCGAAGGGGCTGGCTGACGTGGGCCCAGGGCTGGGGGAGGGCGGTAGACCGCTGAGGGACATCGCCAAGGAGTACGCGCGGCACATAATGGGGGGCCATTCCGCCGTGGACCGCTCGATCTTCGTAGAGAGGGGCGGTGGACAGAGCCGAACGCCGATTAAAGGGAACCCTACGAAACAGCCGCGGCCGCCGAGCTCCGAGTCCGCCCCTGGGTACCCGAACCCGTCCAACGTACCGATAACCAACAGCACCGGTCCGTACCAATCGGGCCGAGCGCCTGGCGCCGAGCGATTCGAGCCGCCCGTACCGAACCGGCCGCAAACCGTGGTACGGCTCTCCGGGGGTGACGTCGGCCACCAAAGCTGCCCTGTCCCCGGACTAAGAGGCCCGGGAATTTTCAATCCCGGCGCAGTCCGGCACCAGACTCCGCCCGCGAACCCCGGAATGGCGGCCAACACCTGGGCGAGTTATGTTGCGCCTAACTTGAACAATCGTCCAGTCGATAGACTTGCCCAGCAGTGTAAGGGACCAACCGCCACAGTGGAATTGAGCAATGTGAGTTATTTATTCTACCAGCAATTTCCAGCTCTTTCTTTATTTTTATGAATCTGTGCATATGTCGCATCTTTAAACCTGTTACCTTTATATTGCATTGCCTCTTTGCCATTTAACGTTAGATGAGTGCAATGTAAACGGAATTCTGTCACTATCCAGATGTTAATGTACATTCAAAATCAAATGTATTTATTCAACATAGGAGCATTACACTCACTTATTGATAGTCAAAACACTACCACTGGTTCGGAAAAGAAAGCCACTGTACTGAGAGGAACCGGCGAAAGAAACTCAGCGGGCTTTTTTTTTTTAAATAAGCAGTTTGACATAAATTCGTTAAAATACAATATAAGAACTCCGATTGAAAGAGCCTGGAGCGATCAGTTCATTACCAGAGTGTGTTATCATTTAAATAATCATTAATATTATAGTAGCCTTTAACACACAAACGTTCTTTTACTATTTTTTTAAATTTAGCTATTGATGCATTTTGAACGTTTTCTGGAATTTTGTTGTAATAACGTATACATTGTCCCATAAAAGATTTACTTATTTTACGGAGTCTAATTGTGGGTAGGATCAATTTATTTTTGTTCCTAGTATTTATATCATGAACATTATTATGTCTTAAAAATTTATCCTTATTTTTATGGACATACAAAAACATTTTCAAAAATGTATTGAGCAGCAACAGTCAATACCTTTATCTCTTTAAACAAGTTTCTTAACGATTCTTTGGGGCCCACATTGTAAACTGCACGAATAGCTCTCTTTTGTAAGATAAAGATTGTATTAATGTCGGCCGCGTTACCCCAAAGCAGAATGCCATAAGACATTATACTGTGAAAATAACTAAAATATACCAAGCGAGCCGTATCAACATCAGTTAACTGTCTTATTTTTTTGACCGCGAAAGCTGCTTAGCTAAGTCTACTCGCCAGTCTATTATTATGGGGGCCCCATTGCAGTTTGGCATCAATAGTTATGCCAAGGAATACCGTTGAGTCAATAGGGTCCAACGCTTCCCCATATAAAAGTACATCAGTTTTTACATGTTTAACATTGGAAGTTGTAAATTTAATACATTTAGTTTTTTTATTATTCAACAGTAAATTGTTAGCACTAAACCAATGTACTACAGTAGATAGAGTATTGTTTACAACGTCATAACTTAAAGAACGTCGGTTTACTTTAAAGATTAAAAAGGTAGAAATATATAATATATATTAATAAATATTAATATATATTATTCCCAAAATGGAATTCGTGCTGGCAGTTCACATAATGTTAAGTAATAACCGCCGCTAGTGTTTCAAATGCGTTGCCAACTTTAAATAAAGTAGGCCCCGGCTACCTCAGTGAGGTCATCAGTCAAGATTATTGATTATTAGATCTAATTAGATCTAATATTATTATTATTATTAGATCTATTGCTTGTTTGGCAACTTTCACATTTTCACACTTTTTCACTTTTTCACACTGCCCATTCGTGCAACAGTGAAAACTGTAGCGTGGCCCTCCCACAGTTAAAACTAAATTCTGGAAAGCTCGCCTAATCGACGTTTTGCAGCTTCCCCTGTCGACCACGTTTCCCCTGCTCTCCGAGAAAATGGCTCAGGTCGGTCAGGTGATGTCCTTGGAGCTGACCAGGGCGGGGTGCGCCTTGGTCCGTTTCGCGAATCCAGCGCAGGCGCAGAGATGCTACCGTATCCTTTTAAAATACACAAGGAAAAACTACAACGTTATAGACATAACTAAATGGATAGCATAAAATTACGCATGCGTGTACGTACGCATGCACACACAGACACAACTAGTTTTAACTAAATGAATAGCACGCACACACGCACACACACACGTAGGTACGAACACGCACACTCACCCACACACACCCTATGCATACGTGCACGTACGCACACAGACACAACTAGATTTTGTTTTTTAACGTTATCGACACGTGAGGATGTTCTAAACGCGCACAACTATCATTTGTACGAGGATGAACGAACGAATGGAATGGCAAATCGTTATTATTAGAAATTCCTGTCTTACCGTCTCAATACAATAACCTATTCACGACTACCAACCGGACACAAACGCGAACGTAAACAAGCGTCGCCCGCGAAACGTCCTCATCGACCCGGTCGACGAAGAGGACTTAGATACGATGGACCCACCGCCGGGGGTCCCGCCGGATAACACTACACCCACAGTTAGTGTAACAACAATCACACCAGTTCGCCCTCGCCTCCGAGCACGGCGAGACCCACACAACGCGTACACAAGGTACACCCGCGTTCCGGGGCGGTTTTCACCGCTCCCAGCCACCGATTAGCTAAATGCACAGTCGACGGCCGTCGAGGTCGACGGTCCGAACCGGCGACCTCGAGGCCCTTAGGGTAGTTAAACGCACGCATGACCCTACCCGTCGCGGAGGGTCCAAACCCGTGGGTTCTGGCTAGCCCACCGGTTCTGCGTCAGATGAAGCTTTAATAGTCTCGGGACTGAAAGCAAAAACATCAGTTAATACAAGATACAAGATACCTATTCACGAGCACTAAAACTGTTCGCTGAACGCATAACTACTACACCGCTTATCAATAGGGTGACCACTCTTAACGTGATAAACAAACAATGTTTGTATTGATATATTTCTGGTTATATCTTGTCAAAATAAAATACTAATTTTTTTTTGAATTATGGAATTCTCAATTAACGTTATGTCAAAGTATTCGTCTAAACAATCACCCTGTTTATATACGGGTACGTCAGATTGCGTCGATTTCTTTTTATTATCTTATCCTTACTTTTTATGCCACAATAAAAATGTGGCTATGAGTTATTTTAAATAAGACATTGAAATAATTACATTGACTATATAATCAGAGCATTTCAACAAGATGTGTGCGATGGGGAACACGATCGAAGTGAGATTCGTTTAGAGCTCAGGTAAGTGTGAATTAAAACGGTAATAATTTTCTTTATCCAATCCAACCCATACCAAGTTCTGTTAGTATCAAATTCGTTCTTATTATTTAAACGCACGTCCTGTAGGCTTTTGAATGAATGAATTTAATGCTTTAATGGAAGTTTCCTATTATAAGACTGGTTAGTTTTAAAAAAAAAGTCTAGTCAAGTTAGATAAGACATTTGTAATAAGCTTAGAATTGCCGATATGGCTGGAATTTTAAGCGAAGAATACTACTAATATTAACATGAGCAATTGTCATATAGACTTTAACGGAGCCTTTGTACTGCAGTGGGATGTTTCTAGGTTCTAAGTTTCCGTACCCAAAGGGTAAAATGGGACTCTATTACTAAGACTCCGCTTTCTGTCTGTTACCAGGCTGTATCTCATGAACCGTTTTAGTTAGGCAATTGAAATTTTCACAGATTATGTATTTCTGTTGCCGCTATAACAACAAATACTAAAAATAAAACAATATTTAAGTGAGACTCTGATAAAAAAATACATGATTTTTTTGCTGTTTCCATAGATAATGGTACGGAACACTTCGTGCGCGAGTCCGACTCGCACTTGGCCGGTTTTTTTTATATTAACAGCTCTCAATCAGGAGTAGGATCCAACATCTGCGGCTCAATAGTATGCTTTTAATTATCAGATTAGTTTTCCCCAAATAACGTCTCTTCCCACTACACCGTATCATACCATGACCGTGCTAGGAACGTTCCCACTAGACTGCCTGATACGCTCCTAGCACGGTCATTGTATGATACGGTGTTGTGGGAAGTGACCTTAATTGGGGAGAACTAAGGTCTCTTCCCCAATTAAGAAAGAAAAAAGTTCGCCTTGAAAGTTGAACTTTCGTACATCCGTTACGAAATTAGCCTGTTCTTTCCTCGGTTTTTTAAAGTTTTATTAATTAAAAAAACCTTGCAGCAATGGCAAAAAGCTGAAAGCTTTCTCTTCTAGTCGACCATGGACAATATTTAGTACCTACTCTATTTAAATTATATTACTTTCGCTAATGTTTTATGTGCGACTTCTGTAGTATGATGGTTACATAGAATGGACGTATTTCTAATTTTGCAGTTCGTCTGGTTAGTGAGGTAGTAGGGGGACACTCACATTGACAAAATAAATGAAGTTAGAATGTATTTTCTTTATGGAATAGGTAATTAATAGTAATTATTCATGATGCATATTTAATTATAGTTCGAGTCATTTATTAATATGAATTAAATTTAAATTACTGTAAGTTATTATAAGGAATTATGTTATAGAATAGTATTTAATTAAATTTTAGTTAAATTATAATACATGATAAGTGTTTCCGTTAATGGAACTACTCTTTTGAATAAAGCGTGTTTCCATTGACTTTTATAAATATACGCATGTATAATTTGTATTTATACTAATTTAATAATACCTTGAAGTTAATTTATATAAGACGTCATTATTTTAAAGAAATTCCAAAAAATCGTTTAATAGGTCACTTGTTCTTCTGTCTGCTGAAAAATGAAACAGTTTTTTTAGGATATTTGATAGTTTCAATGTTAGATGTAGCAATAGATTAAGATAATTATAGAAATATTATATAAGGACATTTTTAAGTTATGGTATTTATAAAATATATATTAATTTAAAATAGTTTTATCTAACAATGAATTTTCAACTATTGTTGGTGTATAACAGTTTTTTAAGGAAATGTACAAGATAGGGTAAGTGAAATTGTTTTCGTGATAAAATAAGTGAAACTTTAAGATACTATTAAAACAAAGCACACACCAAATAAAGCCAATATATTTTGAAAGTATTATTTAACCAAAATTAATTTATAAAACTGAAAATTATTAAAATTTTTATGTAATGGTAATTTAATGTTACAAATTTTAAGTACCTAATATAATTTTATGTTATAAATTTGATTTATTTTAACCATCAATTATTTAAAATACAAATTACAGCGATATACACATAATGTAGTTTAGTCTACGTTAAGAACTAATTTAAGCAAATTAAATAATATATAATAAATAACGTCTTTTATTAATTTTACCCAGGCTAGTCTTTCCAAAAAAAATATCAATATTCAAGGTAAGAATCGAAAGAATAAATGTTCTGGTACACCCTAGCTTTCTTTCGTTTAAAGGATTAAGGATAAAAGTATAGTTTTTGTTAATTGTAAATAAAACAACACAAAATATTTAATGTTTTTTCTATTACTTTAATGTACTTAAAGTGCGTTTACAGTTGACTTGTGCCTTGTATTATATTCTTCAAGCCGGATGGTTTCTGTTTCGGCAATCTGTGACGTAAAACGTTATACGTACATAAATAGAAAAATTACTTACGGCGGGAAATTGAAAATTCGATATTCCTTTTTCGACGACAACAGATAATCTTAAAGATCGAGATCTTCAAGATCGAACTTAAATGGCCACATGATTTATCAAATTAGTTTCTGAACGAATGTATATTGTATATACAGCGTGTCTTTACCACCGCGACAATAAATGAACACACATCTCACGCTACTTGCCAATAATCATAAAAAAATATTAACGTTAAAAAAATCCATAATTAAAAAAAAATTTTTTCAAACAAGCTAAGTAAAAAAGAAAAAAAAATTTGTAACATCCTATACAACTACATCTGACTGATTCATACATTCAGAGACTTTTTCATTCGTTGCCACGGCGCCGCCTTACATGTCTCTCCTTCTAACAGTATGTTTTGTCTCTTTTAAATTCATTCAACCCATTCATATGCTTTGTGACCTTTACAATGAACTTTACATTAAAGTTTTATACGTAAGGTTGTTCTAAAATTCTTTGTTTTCGGAAAATTTGATAACTCGTTAAATATTGATGTCTAAATGTAAATCTTTAATACAATTTTAAAAATATATCCTCTATATGTGTGTTCATTTATTGTCGCGATGGTAAAGACACGCTGTATTTTGAATTCGGTTAAGGTAATAATTGAAACGCCAGTACATTGACTGTGGTAGGGCCACGCAAGTCTTCCGTTGCAAGTTCCGTTCCGAAGTGGGAGAGTGTTACTTCTAACACTCCCATAAGAGAATATATCATCTTCATAAGAGAATATATCAGCGTTTGTCTGGGGAGTGAGGTAGCCGGGACTTTGTTAAAAGATGACAACGCATCTGCAACCCCACTGCTGTCGCAAATGTCCATGGGCGGCGATTATCACTTAACAACAGGTGAACCGCCCGCTAGTTTGCCACCTTCTCACGTAACAACATACCTGGTGTGGATGATCTTCCGTGGGGAAGAGGGATGGACTAGGTCGTGCTGTCTCTCCCACTCGAGGTACTTCTGGTGCTGCCGCTGCCTACGCCTGTCCACGTAGCTGATCTGAACGGTCGCAGTCTAAATTGTTTAAAAGCTTTTCCGCGACAAGCTTTCATGTCATTTAATCAATTGTGTTATACATGTACAAAATTAATTGACTGTTTTGATCTAATTGAAAGTTAATTTTCTTCTTTTTGGGGCGATTAAATATAAGCTTGTTTTCATTATTTTTTTACCATTAATTACTTTTTTATTTTTTCGCTATATTGGATTTTATCGTTAGATATTTGACGTATTAGTTGTCGTCTCCTCAACAATCCCTTTCATTTGATACCCATACTGGGTGCAGAAAAAATAACCAGTCCGCCATCTTGGATGATCCGCCATATTGGAATTAGAATGACGTCACATCGCTAAGAATGCATTGTCATCCAAAACAAGCGTGCATTAAATAAATACATACTGATTTAAAATTCAGTTGCAAGATTCCTCTCGGACGAACAAACACACATTGCAAGTCAAATGATTGTAATAAAAACGAACGGTGTCTCACCACGCAACTGGCCGGTATCCAGACCAGAGCGGTGACCAGCACCACCACACCCACGATGTTGTCTCGCAGGAAGCCCAGCACGTTGTTTATGTTTATGTCCTCGATTATGTTCCAGATGCGCTCCACCACGTCCTGTATGGTCTTCTCGCAGACGCCCTGCAAGGGGGGGGGGGGGAAGTGGATAGTGAACACATCTCTTGCCAGAGGTGGTGGAATCGATCCTCATTAATGGAAAAATATTCGATTATGGACATATTTTTCTAGTGTTATACCTACCTATGATGTTCATAATACTAACTTCGCTTATTTAGAGATTTGAAAAATGAAAAAACTCACTCCCCCGTGAAGAAAAAAGATATTTTTCTTGTTAATCTAAAGAAAAACACATCTAGTTTGTTCGAGACGAAATCAAAGTCAAACTTTGATTTGTCGTTCTTACGCGAATATAATACATGGTTCAATGGAAAATGTTTTACGGATATTATCGCGTAGTTTATTTAATTAGTTGTTAGTTTATTATCTAAACGAACGGATCGATCATGGTGCAATTTTTTTTCTTCGAAAACTGATGTCCATATTTTTGGTGTCAGGGGGTTGCAAGAAAAAAATTATAATTTAACATTATTGTAGATAAATGGACAAAAACTTTTCTGCACCGCCGAAAGAACTTGTTCTGTATAAAAATTCACAATTTAAAGTTTCACAAAGAATTATATATTATATATTTCAAAAGAAAAAAAAAAAATAATCCCAAAAAAAAACGAAAAAGTAGTCACCTTGTTGCAGAAGCCTTGTATACAGGGCGTACCGTCGGGCAATATATCGTTGTGCGCAACCGGGAAGCAAGTCTTGTTTAGGCTTTTTCTACAGCAACGCTTGCACGCGTCCGCAACTGGCGATTAGTTACTTCAGTGAGACGTGCTTTTTTTTTCCTTTTTTTTATGTGAAAAGTTGCCAAGCGAGCAGACGGTTCACCTCATGTTAAGTGAATACCGCCGCCCATGGACATCTGCTACACCCGAGGGTTGCAGATATGTTGACAACCTTTTGAAAATTGGGCTACGGCCACCTCACTCACCAAACGGAACGCGAAAGTATTATACTTCCACTTGCAAACGGTCTTCTGTGAGGTCGTGGTACTTACCAGGACGAGCCTGCCCTTTCGTGCAACAGCCGAGGCTGCTCCGTGGCTCTACCACCGTAAGCGCCGCTCTACCGCTTAAGCAATGGTGTTATATACATGTACAAGGTGGATACGACACTGGCCCATTGAAACTGAGTGGCAACTTTATAGACTGCTATCTCTTTCCTTATCATACGTTCTATATCATCTGTCACATTCACTTATACAGCGTGTCGTTACCATCGCGACATTAAATGAACACAAATATGGGGAATAACTTTTTAAAGTTGTATTAAACATTTAAATTCTTTAAACATCAATATTTACACAGTTATTAAATTTTCCAAAATAAATAATTTTAGAACACCCTTACCTATAAAAGCGTAACGTAAAGTTCATTTGTAAAGGTCACAAAGCATATGAATGGGTTGAATGAATTTAAAAGAGACAAAACATACTGTTAGAAGGAGAGTCTTGTAATACGACGCCGTGGCGCGAGTTGTATAGGATGTTACAAATTTTGTTTCTTTTTTACTTAATTAGTTTGTTTATGGGTTTTGTTTAACGTTAATAATTTTTTTATGATTATTGGCAAGTAGCGTTAGACGTGTGTTCATTTATTGTCGCGATGGTAACGACACGCTGTTTATGTCATATAATGTAAGCGGAATAACTTTTAAACGCCGCGCAGTATGGACATGCGTCATATACATTACTAAACATCACCGTGCTTAAGGTCAAGTGTGGAGGTTAGTGAGAAGAGTGTTGTTTGTAGTCAGTCAATAGTGGTTTGATGTTTAAAGTCACTTTAAAAAGATGATTGAAGCATTTTTAGTCATATTTACATTTGAAGTCGGATTATTGGGACAATTGGTGAATACTAATTGTGAGGAATTCATAGCTTACTCTGTAGTATTAATTAAGCGTTAATCAAATATCGCTATTATAATAAGCTAATAAAGTTATTGATAAAATGTTTAAAGTTTAGGCTGACGATTAAAAATATACTTAGATAATCTTTGCGCTTGTCTAACTTTAGACTTTAGACAAACGATTAATGTCGACAGCTGCTCGCGTGAAGTGCGTGCAGTTTGCGGCTGTGTTTGTGTCTGTGTCGATGTGTTTATATCTGTATGTTGATGTAAAAAAAAGATATAAACATATCTTTTTTTTTAATGGAAAAACGGGGCAAACGGCGCACCCGTTGGAAATTGATCACCGCCGCCCATGAAGTATCTGTAACACCTCGCAAAGGAGGGCTTGCAAATGCGTTGCCTGTGTAAGTGTCTGTATTTATGTGTTCGTGTGTGTTTGTGTCTATATTAGCATGTTTGCGCTGTGTTTGCAACCGACCTATGTCACACATGCAGCTGTGCATCCCCTGCGTTTCGCAGTAGGGCACGCAAGAGCCGTTCCGGCAGCGTCCCCTCTCGGCGCACTCGTGCTCGTCCGCTATGGCTGGTGCCTGGAATGAGGCGACGGCTTGGATGTTGGTCGCTAATCCACGTCTTGGGTAGGCTAATTAACCGCTGGAAGGTAGCTTTGACGTTAAACTCATCTTGATTTTAGATGCATCACTTTCCGAATGTGTACCAACTCTGATTACTGTTTAAAACTGCTCTCCGTCATTGAAGGCATCACCGTTCAAGAGCCGTGATAGCTCATTGTCCGAGCTCGCTTTTAATTCAATATACTCGAGCAACCTGTGTTCGATTCCCCGTACCGACAATGTAATTGAAGACGTGCTAGGCGGTGAAGGAAAACATCGCGAGGAAATCTGCATATTTTCGAAAAAAATAACAAAAAATATTTTCGACATGTGAAGTCGGCCAATCTTGGGGGCTGGAGCAGTCTCCAGTAAGTCAGTACTTACGACTGGGTTGGTACTAACTTACATCTAATTCGCTTAACAATTACATATATGAAAAAAATAAATAAAGTAAAGTATACAGTAGTAATATTTAACAATTCGATTAATTCAATGGTTGCGGAGCGTTTCTTCGCTATGTTCGATCCCTTTTGATCAAACACATTAACACAAAGTTCCGCATTTGAAAATTGAGAGGGAGACAGCGATCGATTGGTGGCAGGTGATCAGGTAGAGTTTGAGAATCAGCAGATGCCGTCCCTTTCGCACGCGTCGCAAGCTTATGGGACGGAGAGAGAAGAGATCTATTGATGGGTCGCTAGCCTATGGTATGGAGAGATACAGCGATCGATCGGTGGGAGGGGCAGCTGTTACTGTCCCTTTCGGACGCGTCAGAAGCCTATATGACGGAGAGAGACATCGCTCGTTCGGTGCGGACATACTTTAGGGCAGTCGGCCGTGGCGCCGTTGCAAGTGGCCTCCCCTTCGCATGCGGAGTGCGCCGGCTCGCGGCAGACCACGCCCGCCGCGGCGAAAACGCAGCCCGCGCAGCATGGGGAGTTCTTGTCGCTGCGGGCACAATACACACGTGTACTACGGGTACAATACACACATGTGCACAGGGTACACGCACACGTCAACACGTGTACACTGGAAATCATTTACACGTGTGCACAGAGTACAATCAACACGTGTGCACAGGGTTGTCTACACATGTACACTGGGAACAATACACTCGGTATACACCGGGTACACTTGGTATAATCCACAGATGTACACCGAGTACAATACACACGTACACCGGGTACATAGGTAAATGGACAGTACTCAGTACACCCACACGTGTGTAGTTTACACACATACCGGGTGCATTTGTAAAATGTACTGTACGGTATACGATCGAGTTAGGCACAGCGCTCGCTGTTAAATGAAACTATTTTAATATACTGAAACCATTGTAAATGTTTCAGTATATTAAAACAGTTTCGTTTTCTCGGTAAATAAATATATTTTCTTTTCTTCCTTTTCTTAGTTCAAAAGTAACATAGAATAATAAGGACCGATATACATAAAACATAATCGGCAGACTGTTAAAGCGATATAGGTACGAAATCAATCATAACCGTAAAAACAAACTTTAAGATTTAGGATCAAGACAGTTAATGGTTTTTAATGCAAAAATACGGTTCAACACATAACCTACCTGCAGACGGCACCTTGGTTCTTTCTAAGTTTGCAGTTCTTATCGCAACACATGTCGTTGTCCTCTGTGCCTGCAATACATACGAAAATGATCTTTATCCACCACCAATAAGTTGTAGTTTGGCTTGTGATCGCATATTGGTATGAAATGAATTGTCAAAAAGCTTACTCCAAATAAAGTTTATTATGTTATCCTCTGTAGACATACTATTTAAAAAAAACATTTATTCATTTGTTTTTATTGCATTTACAGCAATGCTTGGCGTTATCTTGACTCGATGGCGCCGTCGCTAAGGTATTAGGTTCGGCGTCGGGTGTCGTGGGTTCGATTCCTAAAAGGAACAAGTATTTGTGCGACTCACAGATAATTGTTCCTGATCTGGGTGTTTGTTTCCCAAGTAGGGTTGACGTCAGGCACGCGGCCGATAGTGAAAAACGTAGCTTACGCTTACAGCGTGATTCACATGATGTGCCGACCGCAGCTATGTGAGATAAGGGCGGGAGGATGATCATGAATTGCTTTATTTATATGAGAAGGTGGCAAACGAGCGGGCGGTTCACCTGATGTTAAGTGATGACCGCCGCCCATGGACTGTGGTATGGACCACGCAACAGCATTCACTGTTGCACGAATGGGCAGGTCCGTCCGGGTAAGTGCCACAACCTCACAGAAGACCGGCTTAAAGTAGAAGTTTAACACTTCTGCGTTTTGCCTGGTGAGTGGGGCAGTCGGGGCCCACATTATTTAAAGGCGGAGTAATCCACGGAGAAAAGTCCATGGACAGCGGTTATCACTTAACATCGGGTGATCCGTCAGCTCGTATTCCACTTCCATAGTATAAAACAAAGTTGTCACGCTGTCTGTCTGTCATTATGCATGCTTAGATCTTTAAAAGTACGCAACGGATCTCGATGCGTTTTTTTTTACTAGATAGAGTGATTCGAGAGGAAGGTCTGTGGAAGTGAAGGAAGGAAGTGATTCAAGAGGAATATGTATAACACACTGCACCCGTGCGAAGCCGGGGCGGGTCACTAGTTCCCACATGAAACAAAAGAAAAGAAGGAAATTCGATGCCGGATTCGAACCGGCTGCAGACCTAAGAGGCCGGCGTCGCACTCCTCGCCGCCCTCGACCCTCAGGTTGCCGCAGAAGCTCTCCTCCGGCTCGGAGAAGCACCGCCCCGACTTGGCCTGCAGCACCTTCCTGATCGACCGCAGGCTGCACGGCGAGAAGCGCTGCGGACGCCGAACGATACGAACACATGGAATTTTGCGACGGTCCGAAGCAGTGGTGGTTTATTTAGTGATGAATTGTGACTTTCCATTAATAATCCACGTACAAAGATTAACGAAATAGGAAATTTATACAAAGAATATCGAAGTATATAATACTACTTGTCACGTAAAAAACATCAGGTGAACCGCTTTTTTATGTGAAGGTGGTAAGCGCCATTACATTGACCATACATTAACTTTGATACATTATTATTGACCTCATACCAACTGAAGCTATAGGTGTACATACGTTATTGATGTCGTACCCGCTGATGCTGTACGCGTACACACCTTGTTGACGTCCTACCCGCTTACGCTGTACATGTCCACACCTGATTGTTGACTTCATACCCGCTGAAACTGTATGTGTAAATACGTTTTTGACTTCGTTCCCGCTGACGCTGTAAATATACACACCTTGTTGACGTCGTACCCGTTGAATCTCTACATGTACACACATTGTTGACGTCGTACCCGCTGACGCTTTACGTGTACACACCTTGCTGTTGACGTCGTACCCGCCGACGCTGTACGTGTACACGCCTCGCTGACGTCGTACCCGCCGACGCTGTGCGCGTACCCACCTTGTTGTTGACGTCGTACCAGCTGACTCTGTACGTGTACACGCCTCGCTGTCGTCGTACCCGCCGACGCTGTGCGCGTACCCACCTTGTTGTTGACGTCGTACCCGCTGACGCTGTACGTGTACATGAGGTAGGAGCCGCCCTGGCTGGCGGTGGGCGAGCACTCGGCCACGTCGGGGTCGTGCTCCGAGCCCCAGTTGTGGCCGAACTCGTGCGCGGTGACCAGGTCCGCCTCGCGGGTGATCACCCGCTGCCCGTAGTGGTTGCGCGACGAGCTCAGCCCCGAGTTCAGGTACAGCGTGTAGCCGTTCTTGAAGTACTCTGCGGACGTGGCATGCCCGTGACGTCACAGCGTGCAATCGGCGCGGGGCCGCTCTCGGCCCAACCGGCCCGAACGAATTTTACATAAAAACTTATACAGAAGTTGGTAAGGTACCACCGGTTCGGATAGATACACGAAAACACTTATTTGTACATTACATTATTTTAAATTATTTTTATATGTTGTTCATTTAAATTACCCCTACAGCAGTTTTAATGATAGTGTGAAGTTTTAAAAGTTCAATACACGTATATTAGGCTAAATCGATAAAAACGATTGTAATCGAAGCTAGGGGCAAAAATTACAAAATTAAAAATTAATGAAACAGTGTGTTGTATCCTAAATTACTATTATTTACACTGCATTTACAATACAGTGTAAATAATACTGTATTTTATATACAACTTGATGGTTAATAAAAACTTAATCCTATAATTAGTAGTTTAGTGTTATAGTTAGTGGCCACAGCCTGTTAGCATTTATGTAATTAAAAAAATGGTTATAAATCTGCCGCGTATTTAGAATTCTGACACCCATAAATTTTCTGACCATATTTCTTTAATTGGCTCGTTCATACATTTTAATTACCTAAAATTTTATTTAATATTTATTTACAAAGATCAAATACTTAGCTATTACTACTGTGTTAAATGTACCCATCAAATGTCGATTAAAGTAAAGTTACATTACACTTATTTACATACATATAATACATAGATTCGCCATGCAGAACATTATATTAAATAAATAAAAATTTTGATAACGAAGATGTATATAACATAATAATCTACGTTATAGCTCCTATATAATAATATAACAGTTAAATTAGCGATAAATAAACAAGCGTAAAAAGCAAACGAAAAACAACATAAAACACTCACATTTCGCAGCGAAATGGCTGAAAACGAAAACAAAGTAAAATAAACAATAATGTATTTAAAACATAAACTCAAAAAATATATATAAAGTGTGTTTAAATTATATTTAACAATACAGAAGCAATATGTATGTATATACATACTGTCGATAACGTATAACAGTAATAATATTAAATTATTACCAAACGTTTCATAAAAAAATAAAATGTTTATCAAACGTTTGATAAAAAACGTTACTTAAAATTGGAAACAAATACAGTTTTTAAATTAAACTCTATTTACGATTTTTATCGCGTTTAATTTTATAAATGTAAGTCTAACGTTTCGGGCACTGCAGCGTTTATTATGACAGTTACAACTGTCAACTGTCAAGTTCATTTAAAACGAACCCGTTCATACTTCGAATGAGCGTTAAATTCGAATCTGTAAATAAAAGTCGAAGGTCACGCATCTTTCGACTCGGATCGACCTTGAACGACCTCTGGGTCGAGTGTCCCTGTCCGTTTCAATCAACCGCTAAGAAATAATGATAATTTCGATCGACGCGTATGACGCTGCATGAACTTAGTCGAACGAACGTGTTTGAATTTGAAATGAAATGAGCGTTAAATTCGAATCCATACAGAAAGGTCGAAGTTAACACATCTTTCGACTTGGATCGACCTTGAACGACCTCTGGGTCGAGTGTCCCTGTCCGTTTCAATCAACCGCTAAGAAATAATGATAATTTCGATCGACGCGTATGACGCTGCATGAACTTAGTCAAAACGAACGTGTTTGAATTTGAAATGAGCGTTAAATTCGAATCCATACAGAAAGGTCGAAGTTAACACATGTTTCGACTTGGATCGACCTTGAACGACCTCTGGGTCGAGTGTCCCTGTCCGTTTCAATCAACCGCTAAGAAATAATGATAATTTCGATCGACGCGTATGACGCTGCATGAACTTAGTCGAACGAACGTGTTTGAATTTGAAATGAGCGTTAAATTCGAATCCATACAGAAAGGTCGAAGTTAACACATCTTTCGACTTGGATCGACCTTGAACGACCTCTGGGTCGAGTGTCCCTGTCCGTTTCAATCAACCGCTAAGAAATAATGATAATTTCGATCGACGCGTATGACGCTGCATGAACTTAGTCGAACGAACGTGTTTGAATTTGAAATGAGCGTTAAATTCGAATCCATACAGAAAGGTCGAAGTTAACACATCTTTCGACTTGGATCGACCTTGAACGACCTCTGGGTCGAGTGTCCCTGTCCGTTTCAATCAACCGCTAAGAAATAATGATAATTTCGATCGACGCGTATGACGCTGCATGAACTTAGTCAAACGAACGTGTTTGAATTTGAAATGAGCGTTAAATTCGAATCCATACAGAAAGGTCGAAGTTAACACATGTTTCGACTTGGATCGACCTTGAACGACCTCTGGGTCGAGTGTCCCTGTCCGTTTCAATCAACCGCTAAGAAATAATGATAATTTCGATCGACGCGTATGACGCTGCATGAACTTAGTCGAACGAACGTGTTTGAATTTGAAATGAGCGTTAAATTCGAATCCATACAGAAAGGTCGAAGTTAACACATCTTTCGACTTGGATCGACCTTGAACGACCTCTGGGTCGAGTGTCCCTGTCCGTTTCAATCAACCGCTAAGAAATAATGATAATTTCGATCGACGCGTATGACGCTGCATGAACTTAGTCGAACGAACGTGTTTGAATTTGAAATGAGCGTTAAATTCGAATCCATACAGAAAGGTCGAAGTTAACACATCTTTCGACTTGGATCGACCTTGAACGACCTCTGGGTCGAGTGTCCCTGTCCGTTTCAATCAACCGCTAAGAAAATAATGATAATTTCGATCGACGCGTATGACGCTGCATGAACTTAGTCAAACGAACAATGAGCGTTAAATTCGAATCCATACAGAAAGGTCGAAGTTAACACATGTTTCGACTTGGATCGACCTTGAACGACCTCTGGGTCGAGTGTCCCTGTCCGTTTCAATCAACCGCTAAGAAATAATGATAATTTCGATCGACGCGTATGACGCTGCATGAACTTAGTCGAACGAACGTGTTTGAATTTGAAATGAGCGTTAAATTCGAATCCATACAGAAAGGTCGAAGTTAACACATCTTTCGACTTGGATCGACCTTGAACAATCTGGGTCGAGTGTCCTTGTCCGTTTCAATGAACCACTAAGAAATAATGATCTATTCGATTTACGCGTACGTTGGTGCATGTACTAATTTTAACAAACGCGTTCGAACTTCGATTGGGCGTTTAAATCGAATCCATAAAGTTGAAGATCACAAATCTTTCGATTTGGATCGACCTTGAACGACCTCTGGGTCGAGTGTACATGTTCGTTTCAATCAACCACTAAGAAATAATGATAATTTCGATTGACGCGTATGATGCTGCATGAACTTAGTCGAAAGAACGTGTTCAAACTTCAAATGAGCGTTAAATTCGAATCCAAACAGGTGACGACACGAATGGCGTAGTCGGTAGTGTACCTGCCTCCTGCGCCAGAGGGTGTGGGTTCGATCCCCACTACTGGAAAAATATTGTGTGATGAGCATAGTGTTTTTCTAGTGTCTGGGTGTTTATATATGTATAATGTGTATTTATTTACAAAAAAAAAGTATGTTTAAGTACGTCTATCAGTTTTCTAGTACCCATAGTACAAGCGTTGCTTAGTTTGGGACTAGAGAATGGTGTGTAAAAATGTGTCCAAAAAATATAAGGTCGAAGTTAACACATTTTTCGACTTGGATCGACCTTGAACAATCTGGGTCGAGTGTCCTTGTCCGTTTCAATGAACCACTAAGAAATAATGATCTATTCGATTTACGCGTACGTTGGTGTATGTACTAGGTTTAACAAACACGTTCAAACTTCGAATGAGCGTTTAAATCGAATCCATAAAGTTGAAGATCACATATCTTTCGACTTGGATCGACCTTGAACGACCTCTGGGTCGACAGTCCCGGTTTATGAAACACTGATCAACGTAGATGTCAACTAATCAGCTGTCAAATGAATTTCAAATGTCATTTGAGTTGCCACAAGGATGTTTAAACTCTTTGAATTGATCATTTTGATCATTAAGAAGATCATTCTGGTCAATTCAGAGAGTTTAACCATCCTTTTGGTACCTAAATTGTAATTTGAAATCCATTTGACAGCTGATTAGTTGACATCTACGATGATCAGTGTTTCAGAAATCGGGCGTAATCATCGTAGAAGTTAACTAATCAGCTGTCAAATGGCTTTTCAAATATCATTTGAGTTGCCAAAAGGATGGTTAAAGTCTTTGAATTGATCATTCGGATCATTGAGAAAATCATTCCGGGCAATTCAGAGAGTTAACCATCCCTTTGGCAACTATAATTAAATTTGAAAAGCCATTTGACAGGTGATTAGTTGACATCTACGATGGTCGGCGTCTCAGAAACCGGGCGTGTGAAACAAGGATGTTTTTGATATATGCGTACGTTTATTCGAAAGGTCGACGGTCGGCCGTGTTTCGAGTTGGATCGTTGACCTTGAACGACCTCTGAGTCCAACTGATCTCTATTCCGGTCTACTCGTGTCCGTGTGGGAATACTGACCGGGGGTGCAGATCCCGCCCACGGAGTTCCTCCTGGGGGAGCCGACATAGGCCAGTCCCAGGATGCCACCCTCGAACTTCAGGTCGGTGAAGAGGTGCGCGAGGCAGAAATCCTTGTGCGAGTATTCCCGGCTGAAAACCTGGACGATGACGTGTATTTTATGTTTTAACTGGAGTTAGAACTTAGTTTTAACTAGAGTAGACTTGCACGAATGGGCAGGTCCGTCCGGGTGACTACCGCGACCTCACAGATAATCGGCGTATGGTAGAAGTGCGTTCTTCTGCGTTTCGTCTATTTAAAGGTGGCAACGCATTTGCGAACCCACGGGCGTTGCAAATGCCAATGGGCGGTGGTTGTCACGTAACATCGGGTGAACCGCCAGCAGGTTTGCCACTTTCTTACATAAAGAAAACGTAGCCTCTCTCACCAGACGGGTAACAGGAGGTACAATAATTGTCTCTGGATATATTTTAGCGCATAGACAGTGGTAGCTGTATCCGCAAGATCGATGTGAAATTTTTATAGCCTAGTAATACCAATCGTCCATTTTCAGCTCATTCAGTTTAAAGACATTTATACAACGTAATTGCTGTTGCCGATTTCGCACTTTTATTGAATATGAACTTTATTCACTATACGCACTAGGTATATTTCACAGTAATACTTAAGTTTATACTATGTATATACGTAATGACACACGTCTACTCGCTTCGACCGCTGTTCGCATCCTCCTCCTCATTGGTAACTGAATGTAACAACTTGGCTTCGTGTGGTTATCTGACGGACATTGCCTAGTTTTTTAGGGACCGACTGTAACAATGCGTACCTTCCATATGTATAGCCGTGATAGCTCAGTGTCCGGACGCTCGCTTTTAATTTAATCTAGTCGAGCGACCTGAGTTCGATGCGCGGTGGCGGCACCAATGAAATTGTAAATTTTTATTGCTGACTTATCACGTGCTCAGCAGTAAACGAAAACATCGCGAGGAAATCTGCATATTTCCGAAATAATAATAAAAAAATATATTTCGAAGACATATGAAGCCCGCCAATCCGCAGTGGGGCCGCGTGGTGGACGATGCCCTGTTACTCTCTGTACAGCGGAGACCTTTGCCCAGCAGTGGGACTTTTATAGGTTGTTACTTTACTTTCATGTAAAGGATAAACAGATTTAAGATGCTTGGATGTCTTAAGAATGCATTGCAATAAAGAATTTACAATTCAAAACTCAGCGCGCTTTGCCCACTAATGGGTGTCCGTAGCCTGCACCATTGAGACGTGCCCAGCGCTGGGACTGGCATTCATAACCGTGGATACCTCACCTCGAGAAGATTTCGCACGTCCCACTTCTCGCGCACCATGTTGTAGTGCGCCTCGCCGCCCCTGACTCGTGTCGGTTCTGAATGCACCAGGATCTTCTTGATCACGAACCCCATACCCTTGAAGCCGTCCATATCCTGGGAAAACAAAATCCTCCATAAGGAAGAGTCCGCTGAGTTTCCTCAGTGGCTTCTCTTTTCAATATGTGAGTGTAATACTTCTGAATTGAATATAGATATTTGAACGTGAGCCAAAAAATGTTGTCAACCCATGTTTTGTGGGTACAATCAGGGGTAGACAACATTAGAATTTTCTTTTAATGTATTATTTACTTCATGAATGATCTTCAATATGGTTTTTAATTTGACTACTTTAATAACATCGCGTAAAATCGTCAATTTGACACATTGGATATATTTTAAATTCTAAAATTTTTATTGTAAAACAAAAAGGACGTAAATGTATTAAACAGTTAATATATCTCGACACGCAATAGTTTGAGTAATTTGTAAGTGTTACACGCCGCATTACTGACTGTAAAATAAAACCGTTTAAGAACTTTTAAGTTTAACGGTTTTTTTTTCTGTTTTTTTTTTTTTGCACTGAAAACTACAATATTGTATTTTCATCTAAATTAAATGTGTGTACCAAATTTCAGATCAATCTGACAACCGGAAGGTGCTTAAATTTCAATTTCTAATTTTGACCCAAATAAACAAATAAATTCCGTACGTGTCGAGCTAAATAAAACCATTTAAAAAGCAAAAACTTTACTTTTTTTTTATTGTTAAATTGCTACTGTGAATATTGTTGTTTACATTTTTATTTCAAACTTTTTATAGCGGCCACGACCATAAAAGTGCATGCATGAAAAATTTGTATACGACATTTCAGGACATATTAACACAACGTTACCAAGTACCAAACTAAGCGTAGTTATAATACTAGACAACGGATCCACATATCAGTGGTGGAGATCGAACCCAGACCCTCTGACGCAAGACTACCACTAGCTACTAAGCCAATCGGGTCGACGATCATGTATGTATATTTATCTTTGACAAATATCTGAAAACGCTATAATTTAAGCAACAAATTGTAAAAGAGCAAAACAAACCTGTCTGTCTTGCCATACGGTGTCATTGTAGATTTTGTGGACGCGGTCGATCAAGCTTATCTGAAAATAGGCAAAGTCGAATGGCTGAGCACTGCTTCGGAATGCAGTTACGCGTGTCAATAAGGTTTTTTTTAAATCTTAAAAGTTACATTGATGCTTAAAAGTAAGGTGTGAAAATTGTGCTGAGGCCGTTCTAGCTTCTGTTGTTGCAGAAAACCGGCGTGAAAAGTATATTACTCTGTTGAGTGAGGTAACCGGGGCACGCTCTTTTATTGGTCAGCTGCTGTAGATGTCCAAGCAGTTAACGTCACGATAACTGCTTGCCTGCTTACCTTTCATATAAAAAGAAGAGGACCAGCCCGATCTATCTTTAATTCTCGGAACATCCACTCATTACGACACAGCTGACCTCTTTCGATATTAGATATATCGAGGTAAGGAAACTTATTTGTTATAAACACACAAAAAGAGTAGTCTTAACAGAAAAACACGTTTACTTGTAACGAAAGGAAGAGGCAAAAAATGCTTTTGAATTCTTACGATCAATAATTTTAACATTATTATTTTTTCAACGTTTTTGGGATCTTTAAGCAAATAACTGTCTGTACTTCGATATCTACATCTGAGCTGAAATTTGTCTTCATGGATAACTAATAGTTGTAGGCGGCATCGGCTATGCCTTTTAAAAAATAATTGTATCTTCCCGTTTATACGTTACATGAAGTAAGTGGTAGGGCCACGCAGCGGCCTCGGCTGTTGCACGAATGGGCAGGCTCGTCCGGGTAAGTACCACGACCTCACAGAAGACCGGCGTCAAGTGGAAGTATAATACTTTCGCGTTTCGTCTGGTGAGTGAGGTGGCCGGGGCCCGATTTCCAAAAAGGTTGTCAACGCATCTGCCAACCCTCGGGTGTAGCAGATGTCCACGGGCGGTATTCTCTTAACATCAGGTGAACCGCCTGCTCGCTTGGCAACTTTTCACATACAACAAAAAAACATGGTCAGCGGTTGTAGCTCACCAGGTAGCTGATCGTAGTCTTCGTGTTGCTGGCGCCCATCTCTTGGAAGAAGCGGTAATCTGCCACCAGCAGGAGTGGACACCTGGTCTTGGTCGGCGTGTATTCGTAATCGCTCTGCCTCTTTGGCCGCTTTCGTTCGCCCTCCGACGCGCTTCTAGAGCCTTCTAGATACTTCTGCTTCTCCAGGCGCTCGTGTTCCGCCTCCAGGTCGCTGTTGATTGTGTCCTCGTCTTCCTCTAATTCTGCAAAAGGTAGACCGGAAAATAGTGAGGTTTTGGAAGCCGCGATACCTCATCGAAACGGACTTGAGGGGGATTTGAAATCGCAAATGTTTCTTCACTTTATTATTTAAAAAAAAAAACGATGATCTCCGAAGTCGAAGGTCCGATGCCAATGGAATAAAAATGGAACCATGTGGGAGCTAAATCGGACCATATTCAAGATTTCTTCAAATCGGCTCATAAATGACACAGTTCTGACTAAATATAAAAAAATACAACCGAATTAGGAACCGCCTTCTTTTTTTTAGTCGGTTAAAAACGATTCAATACAACACGAGCCCTTCTTATTGGGAGTCATTGAGTTGTGAAAGTCATCACACACGTAAAGTAAGATGTTTTTTTATTTGCAATAAGTTAAGTAAGTCTAGTAAGTAGTACCATATCTTACTGCAAGGTTTTTTTTATTTAAGATTTTGACTAAACGTCTTTATCAACGCGTAACTCATGCCTCTCAAAATGACCACTTTCACATTATACAGGTGTCCCTCTCAACGCGTACCTCGCCCCTCTTTCACGTATCCGCACACCCTAGGTCTGCTGCCGTCGCCCTGCGCCCAGCTGAAGCGGATATCGGAGGAGCGGTAGCTGATCATGGTGCCGTCCTTCTGGTCCGGTAGATGGCGCCACGAGGGCTGTCAGGGAACAATGGCGTGTTTAGGTATTTAATAAGGGGACATTTTTTTAATGTGAACAGTTGCCAAGCGAGCAGACGGTTCACCTCATGTTAAGTGAATACCGCCGCCCATGGACATCTGCTACACCCGAGGGTTCCAGATGACAACCTTTTAGAAATTGGGTTCCGGCCACCTCGCTCACCAGACGAAACGCGAAAGTATTATACTTCCACTTTACGCCGGTCTTCTGTGAGGTCGTGGTACTTACCCGGACGAGCCTGCCTCATTCGTGCAACAGCCGAGGCCGCTGCGTGGCCCTACCACCCTACCACCATTGACATTAGGAATGCAACCGAAAGTGGCTCAATCCAGTAATTTATTATTCTCCTGTCCCTAACCAAGTCGACCTGCACGTACTAAGTTATTGGCAAAATCACTGACGTGTCAGTGGAGCTATAATATAAAAAAAAAAACAAAATTGAAATTTGAATCAATCCAAGTTTTAATCAATATAACGATGTGAGAACACCCGTTTGGCGTAATGCACAAAAGGGTAGCGAGTCTTGTCATATAATAGTGGCAAGACAAGATCCTTTAAAAAAGGGAAAATTGAACAAATATGTTAAAATTTATGTTCGTGTGATATATGGTTTCAAAGTTGTTTTTTGTATTAAAAAACAATTACGCTCCAGTTAACACAGTATTTTGTGGCTTTATGTAGACGCGTGTCATATTCAGCGAGAGTGGATCAGAAAACTGCTCAACAACTACAATTTTATTCCTACTAATATATAAAAAAATATCATTACATAAAATCTTATTTAATACAATTACTGCTGATTTTCTTTACATACAATAATTCAAGTTTTGAAATTTGGAACATTGAATTTTCTTTGAACGGAAAAGCATTCCTCGGCTTTCGTAAATTTTTCTAGGATTGGTCTTCAAAATGCATTAATTGCTACAGGACAGACTGATTTGTTTTACAAAAACATGTATGTTTTTGAACCCATGAAGAAGAAGAGTAATAAATAATAATTAATAGTAATAAAACTATAGAAAAGTATACCTCAATATGGTAAGTTTCATCTGGTGTGTGAATTATTCCTGTAATAACTCCTTCATCTATGTGTAATTTAACATCGGATATATTTTCACCAAAAACTCTGCCTGTGTAAAAGTTTTCCCGGTCTGAAATTTTTTGGAAACAGAATGCAATAATGAACATATACAATATACAATATGTTACTAAGCCAACTGAAACACTGTTGAGCAATAAAAACAATGATAGTAGAGATGAATAATCTATTTATTAGAGTCCACGCACAAAACAAAAAGTGAACTGCTTATTTTTAAATAGTACATTTGTTATTTAAGAAGAAATGCAAAAAGTTATATTAGTTATGATTTTTAATTTTTTTTTTTTTTTTTTTTTTATTAGTTTAACGGCCAATAGTTAGTGTTTCTGGAATGAGTTACTAGGGTGAGGTTGGAAGTAGGAAATTATAGTGTAGTTTTACTTCACTTGCCGGACCAACGCAGTTAGAGAAAAACAAGTCCTTTAGGCCTATCTTACATATACTTAAAAACTACTTTTACAAGTTACTTATACCTATTGTATTTACAATGAATTTATATATAAACTTATAATATTTTGGATTCCTAAGAAGTTTTGGCAAATCATATAAATACCTGTGTATTTATATTTTCTAGTTCGGACACCAAGATTAATCGCTGAAAATTATAATTTTGACATTTCATGAAAATATGGTTTAGGTCAGCAACATCATTACAAAAAGTACATTTTGGGTTTGCGACAATTTTGAGTCTTGTTAAATGCGCAGGAATTCTACAGTGGCCGAATCTTAAGCGATTGATTGTTGTTATGAAGTTTCTGTTTATAGCGTCCTTGTGACTATTATACCAGGGTCTTGGCGGCGGGGAGTTCTGAATTTTGGCATACCACTTTCCTTTTTTCTCGCTTACAATCTTCCAATATTGGAGCCATAACATTTTGAGCTTTTCATTTAACATCTGATAGAAGTCAGTAAAAGGAACTTTTAACAAGGAAGAGTGGTTCTCATCATACTCTCCTCTAGCCGCCCTATCTACTATCTCATTCCCGGAAATTCCACAATGAGATGGAACCCATTTCAAAGTAATACATTTTCCTCTTTGGCTTAATTCATACAGTATTTCTTTCACATTATTTAATATAAAGTTGGAACTATATTTTAATGGATTACTTTTCAAAGCTACCAAGGCACTCATACAATCAGATATAATTAAGATTTTAGACCTATTTACATTATTATATATATATATTAGTACTCGGTAAATAGCATAACATTCAGCGGTGTAAATGCTGCACTGACTGTCTAATTTAAAACATTGAGTTAATTTTGTTTGAGGATCATAATATGCTGATGTTACACTGCTTGAGGACTTTGATCCATCTGTGTACAGTACATAAACATTTGGTAGATTATATATATAATCCAGGAATTCAGTCTGATTATTTAGTTTTTGGATGTCTATGTTTATATTAGTAATTAAGCACTTAAAATTTACTTTGTACAATGGTAAAAGTTTAGATAAATGTATATTTTTACATATGTTTCTGACATTCAGGCATATTTGCAACATTTCTGGTAAATGATCAGATATAAGCTGTGCAACTTTAATATTTGAATTATTTATAAATATTTCAGGAAGATCTTGATTTGGCAAGATCCTGTCTAGAACAAACTTATTATTATTAGCACATAACTTAAGACAAAATTTCTCTGCTAGCTGCAGGCGCCTTAACTTTAAAGGCATTATACTTGACTCTGATTCCATAACATGAATTGGAGTAGAGCACATAGCACCTGTAATAATTCTTAATGCTTTGTTTTGATACATATCTAACTTCCTCAGTAGATTAACATTAGCATTCATATAGGCTAAGGAGCTATAGTCAAAGTGGCTTCTAATAATGCTCTTATATAACATAGACAGGATCTTAGGGTCAGACCCCCAATGAACACCGGCTAAAGAACGCAGAATATTCAAACCTTTGCTAGCATTTTTTATAATATGACCAATATGAGTCTCAAATGTTAATTTCTTATCCAAATAAATTCCAAGAAATTTATGTTCATGTACCCAGTTCAATATATTACTTTCATAAGAAACTGACGGAATTGAATCAAAACTTACTTCTTTTTTACAAAAAAGCATTGCTCGACTTTTACTAATACTAATGTTTAAACCTAAACTACAATACAAAAGTGTTAATTTGAGACAAGCCATTGTTTAAATGTATAATAGCATTATTTACATCTTTATTTACACTATATACAACAATATCATCAGCAAATAACAGACATTTAATAGTAGAGTCTGTTAAATATTTGTTAATTTGTGAAGTGTATAATCCATATAGTAATGGTGAAATTGTGGAACCTTGCATAGTTCCTTTATAAACATGTCTAGGTCCATGTAAGATATTATTATATTTGACATACATCAATCTGTCATATAAAAATATGAATATCCATTTACATATTATCAAATGCACCACTCACATCGAGAAATGCACATGCTGTATATGAATGACTATGAAAAGAATTTTTAATATCGATAATAAATGACATATAATTCTCTGTGGCACTTTTACCTCTACGAAAGCCAAATTGTTGTTCAGGTAAGATATTATATTTTTCACTGTAATATTCCAAACGTAATTTGAGCATGCTTTCAAAAACTTTACCCACGCAGGATGATAGTGATATTGGTCTGTAAGAGTTGAAATCATTTACAGGCTTGTCATGTTTTAGTATAGGAATAATACATTGTGTTTTCCATGAATCTGGTATAGACTCAGATTTCCATAATAAATTATAAATCTTTAAAAGAACTTTGTGTGCATTGGGATGAAGATTACGAATTAATTTATAAGAAATTTCATCAAGACCAGGAGAAGTGTCCTTTCTAGACTTTAAAGCTATATTAAATTCGTTTATAGTGAAAGGTTCAGTGAGAAAATGACCCTCAGTATTTCCAGGTAAGTTAAAAAGATTATTTAACCTTGTTTCATCAATTTCTTTTTCAGGTGGAGAAGTTGGAGCATATTTTTCCAAAAAAGAAGGGATCCATTCATCATTTTTAGGGGGCTTTTTGCAAGTTACACGTTTAAATCTGCGAATGTAATTCCATATCATGCTGACAGGTGTATATCTGCTAAATGTCTCACATAATGTTCTCCATGCATTCTTCTTTTTCTGACTAATTATTTTCTTTTTAACTGCATCTATTTTTTTATATTGTATGTAGTTATCTATTGTGGGATGAGATCTATAGGTTCTCAAAGCTAATTTACTTTTTGTTACTGCTGAGGCACACTCATTATCCCACCAAGGAACTGGTTTTTTGATTTTGTAAACAGTTTTATTTATTATTTTGGGGATACATTCCTCTTTAATATTATACAAAATATCACAAAATTTATTATAGATAGAAATTGGATCTTGTAAATCAAGATTCAAAATATTGAAAGCTTTTTCACTTTTACGGAAATACTCAGACCAATCTGCCCGACTATAGATGTAGCGCTCAGAAGGAGCACCTATATCATATTTTTCAATGGATGTTTGAATATTTATGATAGTAGGAAAATGATAGCTACCCATTGGGTCATCATGGACTTTCCAGTTACATAAATGAGCTACATTAGGACTACTACATGATATGTCTATTGCAGAAGGATTATGGCGAATGGTACCTACAGTGGTGGGAGACCCCGTGTTCAAAATGCAGAGATCACATTCATCTAATAAATTATAAATATCATTACCTCTAGAATTGGAAGAAACACAGCCAAATGCAACATGATGAGCATTCAGATCACCTGACAGCATAATTGGTTTTGGCAAATCATCAATAATCCGCTTTAATTTTCTACTTTTAAAACGACCACCTCTTGGAGGACTATATGCACACAACAGGAGACAAATCACCAATATTAGTTTTTAAAATTATAGCAGCAGTTTGTAAAAAATCATAATAAGGTGTTTGAATTGCTTCATATTTAAACATATTTTTAATTAAAATAGCAACACCACCATGACCATCAGGTCCATTTTGGCTTACAATATTAAAACCTGGCACTTTAAGGTTACTATTCTCTCTTAACCATGTTTCATTTAACATACAAATATCTATGTTGTTTTCAAATAAAAATTTTATCAGTAATGGTTTTTTGTTATTTATACTCTGAATGTTAAATTGGGCTATTGTTAAATAAGACTTTACAGTTTCAATACTATTATTACAATGAGAGCTACAGTCCATTTAAATTAAATTTTTCAAAAAGACTTCTTTAATTTTATTCATTGTTATAGATTCATTACTAGAGGAGTTAGCCAATGTTACTAAAGACTTTACTATAGCATTCAAAATAATTTCATTATTTGCAATTTGTTCTACTTCCATATCTTTAGTTGTAGACACAATTTTTTTGTTAGTAAATGAATTTGTATACACAAAACTTTTCTCACTATTATTTACAGCATTTTCGATGGCCTTGGGTTTCAAAGGAGGGAAACTCTTGTTATCTTTAGCTGCAACTGAGGCAAATGTGCGATTTTGGTTCAAGATTAGATTGCGTTTTTCTTCTATTTTCTTCATTTTTATGGGACAGTCTCGAGAAATTGCGAGGTGAGACCCGCCACAATTAATACATATCAAAGTATCCGATGTACATTCCTTGTAGAGGTGATTTCCAGCACATGAAGAGCACATTTGTGTCCCACGACAGACTTTAGCTGAATGGTTAAACTTTAAGCATTTGTAACATTGTGTAAGGGGTGGAATGAATGTTGACACCTGGTACCTGAATAAATTCAAGTATACAAACTTGGGCAAAGTAGATGATGAAAATGTGATTGCCACTGTGGTCATAGGTTGAAGCTTTTTGTTTTCGTCTCTCTTCATGAATCGTTTGACAGAGATAACATCTGCATCAGAGCTAATGTTTTTGTAGATCTCCTCGTTAGAAATTTCGGTAGGAACATATTTGATTATGCCTACTTTCTCCACCAAATGGGCGGGGATGAAAGCTCGCAATTTATGTGTTGCTAAGAAGCTGTCTAATTTTAAAAAACTATTGGCTGCAGCAGCCTTTTGGAATGAAATTCCAATTTTGTATCCATTGATTCGATATACACTTGTAATGCCTTTAACATTATCCGTAAAAAGTTGTGTTAATTTAATGGGATTTTTGTTCCCCACTTTCTCCCTTTCTTTTGACTCAACATATACTATATATTCAGTGTTGGAATTGTTCTCTAGGAACAGCCTGGTATAATTACTTTTAAAATAAATTTTGTACTTCTCTTCTTCTTTTGTAGTCGTCGTGTGCTTGTATTTTCTTTTTCGCTCTATAGGACACGTTCCCAACGTGTCCTCACCATCGCTTTGCGTCCCCATCTTGAATCGACGGGGAGGAAACTCAGGAAATTAGATGTTTTACTTTTGCTAACTTTGAGTAATAATTTTTAACAATTAAAATAAACGAAGAAAAACTGAAAGCACCCGCTCAATTTGACTTCCCGCCAAAAAGTCTCACTTGACTTACTATCGGCTTTGTGTTGCCATGTGAGTATTGTCTGAAATCAACGTACCTAATGGTAATAATAGAATTCAGTTTTGTTTGGTATAAGTGTAGCTTGTTAGTCCAGTGCTTTGGACTTCGTTGGACAACGCCAATGCACGGCGGTCGACGATAAGACGGTGAAACCGACCGCTCCGTTGTATCTCCACGACAGCATCTTACTAGATGCTCGCGGAGTGCCAGATGAGACATTACGTATTTCGCCTTGTTGGCTATAACACTAATGTGTTTTGAATGTGCGTTTCTATCTAGCTTAATACCTAGATATTTTGCCAGTATTTCCCATAAAATAGTTTGGCCGATTAATTTGTGGGGAGTTTTTCTTTTGGTGGTAGTCCGAATGACAATTAAACTGGATCGCCTCCACCACTTTATGCACGATTGTAGACGGATAATAGTTCGGAAAAAAATATTTTCACGTTTTTCGCATCGATTATTTATAATATAGTTAAGTCACGATAGCTCAGTGTCCGGGCACTCGCTTTTAATTCAATATACTCCAGCAAACTGAGTTAAAATTAAAAGTAAAAGAAAAAAATTTAAAAACAAGCTTTTATTATGTTGTTGTTAATAAAAAAAAGAATGATTGAATGTGTAATTTTATGCTAAATGTTCTTTAAATTCCATCACAATGTAACACGCTTTTATTTATAAAAAAATGAGTATGTGATAAAAACGCAAAGATTTAATACAAGGTGTAAAGTTTAATAGTTTAGGGTTTAATAAAAATGTCTAATAGGTATGTATCTACTTACGATATGGGATTATTGTGACGTTTACGAATATGGTTAATTGTCGTTAAAGTTTGCAATGTAGATACCTACCCATATAATAACAGTTTTGTTATCAGATTTAAATTATTACTTTTAAATTTTTAGTTCTTTTTTATTAATAAGAACATAAATAATATACCGGCGTGAAGTGGAAGTGTTGTGCCTCTGCGTTTTGTCTGTTGGTTAAGGTAACCGAGGTCTACGTTATTAAAAGGTGGCGCATTGGCATCACCAATCCTACGGGTGTTACAACTGACCATGGGCAGTGGTTATTACGTGATAATCAGATGTACTGGAAGCACGCTCGCCATCCTAAGAAGCACGTAAGAAGTTGTACTTGTTTAGCGTGACAAAATAAAAATATCTAAAAACTGTTTGTTTGTGAAAAAGGCTCCGTGACGCAGTCACCAAGGTATTGGCTTCGGCGCCGTGGGTCGTGGGTTCGATTCTCATACGGAACAACTATTTGTGAGACCCACAGATATTTGTTTCGGAGTTGGGTGTTTGTCCACGTGAACTTTATGTATGTAAAACGTCCTTACAACACAGGATAATTTTATCCTACAGTAATGTTGTTGCTACAGTAAATTTTTTAATTAAAAAAAAGAAGAAAGAACAAGAATAATTTTTAACAAAAAAAAAAGACCAATCAGAAAATTAAAAAGATTGTTAATACCTATAACATTCAATGATGACCCTCGATTTCTCTGGGATCTGATGATGGCATCAGATCCTGTTTTCCTTATTATGGTACCACCCTTGGAATATCTCCTTTCCAACGAAAGAGAATCATCAAAATCGGTTCATAAACGACAAAGTGATCCACGAACACACATAAAAAAAAGAAAAATATACAGCGTGTCGTTACCATCGCGACAATAAATGAACACACGTCTAACGCTACTTGCCAATAATCATAAAAAAATGTTAACGTTAAACAAAATCCATAATTAAAAAAAAATATTTTTCAAACAAACTAATTAAGTAAAAAAGAAACAAAATTTGTAACATCCTATACAACTCGCGCCACAGCGTCGCATTACAAGCCTCTCCTTCTAACAGTATGTTTTGTCTCTTTTAAATTCATTCAACCCATTCATATGCTTTGTGACCTTTACTAATGAAATTTACGTTACGCTTTTATAGGTAAGGGTGTTCTAAAGTTCTTTGTTTTGGAAAATTTAATAACTCTGTAAATATTGATGTTTAAAGAATTTAAATGTTTAATACAACTTTAAAAAGTTATCCCCTACATGTGTATTAATTTATTGTCGCGATGGTATCGACACGCTGTATACGGTCGAATTGAAAAACCTCCTCCTTTTTTGAAGTCGGTTAAAAAGATAAGAGAATTCAATTGATATCGATTTTATGTTGGAAATAAAGGTAAATGTTAAAAAGTTGTTATTTGCTGCCATGGAAATACCATCATTTCGCTTTTCAGGGGTCTTTGTGCGCGCGCATCGTAAAAATTTTACACTCATAATATTTTTTCCTAAACGAAGTATAACTTGAAAATATTATAGAAATAATTTGTTCAAGTTGTATAATGCTAAGTTAACGTGATCACGGTATCTGTGAAAAGCATGAGCGGTTAAAGCGAGAAGGGAAGGTTTGGAAATTAATTTACTTCTATAAATTATAAGTGTAAAGAAAATTGTATCCGCATCCAGGTATCACAATAATTATTAATTATTAATAAAATAACTGTTGACTGGTAGAGAACGCCTTTGGGAGTTAAACATAAATATGTTGCATGAAAATCTTTATTTTTCATTCTTGCTTCGACGGCAAGACACGCGTTTCTTTTAAGTAATCCATAATCAAAAGAACAATTAAAACATTGTATGTTGTCATCCTGCATATGGTGAATATGCAGACCTTCACGAAATTGAGGTAAAGAGATAAATAAATTACACAATAGACCATACATCGTGCTAAGCAGGTTTATGTCGCCTTTTATAAGACAAACGCTTTCCTTTCAGTGAATATATTGACCAGAACCTTGAGGACGATTTATAAAAAGAAAAAGAATATAGACTAGTTTCAGAATGTGTTCCGCATGATATCGAATAATCTGAGTTATTTGTATGATTGTAGAGTATGATATGGACGCATTATACATTAAGACAATAATGCATTCATTGTTAATTCTTACGTAAGATGTCCCAAAAGACTGTATCATATTATCAATAATATGTATTTCTTTAAATTAACAGTGCAAAATGTGTATTAACCGATTTTAAGAGTTTGTTCTCTATTAAAAGACCTCAGAGTAAAAAGGTAAAAATAGATATGGCTGTCCACATTTTATTGAGATTGTTAAATCAAAATGTGGAGATGATTTAATTAATATGCATGTTTTTTTTTTGTTTTTGTTATCTAG